AATTCCTTTTCCTATTTTCTTTATAGGGAATTTGGTTTCATTCTCCAAGCATGGAGCAGAGGGAAAAATACCACACTCAATTTTTAAAAAATATTTTACCTAAATTAGAGGGGGAAAGGGAGAGAGAGAGAGAGGGAGAGAGAAGGAGAGGAGAGGGAGAGGGAGAGAGAGAGAGAGAGAGAGAGAGAGAGAGAGAGAGAGAGGGAATTTTGAAAGGCGAAGCCCATGGATTGGCATTGAATGGCATTGCTTGGGCTTTGCTACCCCCTCGTGGCCACTGTGAGGAATAATGGGCCTGTAATTGCAGCCTGGATTGCAGGAGCTGGGAGAGGCCCTGAGAGCAGGTGGGACTTCTCTGAGGGAGGCAGCCAGGGCAGGAGCCCATAACCCAGGTCTCCAGACCCCAAGGCCCTGCCTGAAGCAATCCGACTTCTTGAGTGTGACAGAAGCTCCAGTGACCATCTGGACTCACCTGCCCAGCAGGGTGGGGGTCCCTCTGCAGCTCCTGTGTCAGGTGGTCCTCCAGCCTTAGCCTGGGGCTCAGATGCCTCTGCTCTGCATCCTCCCCTTGTGGACCCAGTTCCTTCCTCTGAGGGTCCCCAGCCCAGCCTCTGACACTGCAGGGCTACAGGAGTGAGATCAGGAGGACCAGGAAGACGGAGAAAGTGCTTCATTGACGTCGACACTCTGGGTGCATCACCTCTCTGAATCCTGCAAGACAGATGGGTTAGCCCGGGGTAGCGGGTGCTTTTCCAAAACCTCATTGTGAAGTACAACACTCACAGGTACAAAATTTAAGGCAGACTCACTCTAGGAGGGGTGCCCTAGGTGCCTCATCCTCGTGACAACTCCGAGGGAGCAAAGTGTGACCCTTAACTGCCACCGTGGGCACTTGGGGCTCCATCCCATTGGGGAATCTCTAGGAGCCGATAGCACGTGCCTCCCACTTGTCCCATAGGAGGCAGGGAAAGCAGGGCACTGTCCCTCACTCCTGTGCCTTATTAGCTGCAGGTTGTCCCTGGGGCACTAACTCCCCTGTGAACGTGGACTGAACAAGCGTCTGTGGCACTGGAGGGAGGACTCAGGCAGAGAGAGAGATGGAGGTTGTCAGCGCCAGCTGTCCACTGCAGGCGCAGGTGAAGTCAGGGCCTGGACTGAGGTGTCAGCAGTGATGCATTTGGCTCATTGAGCCCTGTCTGTTATTGATGCTCCAAGGTGGTTGCGGCTGGTCACAACCTCAAAAGAAAGACTTAGAATGGGAGGGTTAGTCTCCACTGTTACAGCTGGTCCTGGAGCCAGGATCACTCTTCAGCACCTCCTTTCTCAGTCCCCTTTCTGGGTTGCCCTCCCCCTCAGCCGGCACTTCGTAGGCCTGGATGACCCAGACCTTCACTTCTGAGGGTTCTCAGCAACTGGTTCCTTGGGCCTTGTGGAGCTGTGGTGGCTGCAGATACTCATTCACCGTTGTTGCCAGGCATGGAAAGGGCGAGAGGTATCTCCGAGCTCCAGGCGTGCTCCTTTCTGCTCACATGCTGCAGCCCTCACTCCTCAGCGTAATCAGGGTCAGTTACCTGTCACTCTGAGTGTACGGTCCCGGTGATCAGGGAGCAGGGGTAGTTTTAAACTCAGTGGTAGACGAGTAGAAGGGACCCTCTTCCCACCTCCACCTGTCTGCCCCTCCCACATCAGGAACAAGCACCTCTAATTTTAGAGCATGCAGTGGTAGGGATGGGAAGCAAGAAATCCCCCAGGTGGGTTGCTGGAGGGAACCACTCCTCATTCCACTTCCCAAACGCATGTACCCTAACTACGGGCACTTGCACACCAATGATGTCTAAGGGTGAAAATGTCTACATTTCCTGCAGAGCAGGGCCCCATCACACAATGTTTTACCCAAGCTGGCGTCTTAACCGAGCCTTTAACAGGGCAGTTCAACCTCCAGCTTTATAGCAGGAACCACTAGTGGGATTCCACTGTCACGTGTCCCGTTATTCATAATTCCATGTGGGAGAGCAAACATGTGTTAGGATTATTTGGAAATGTTTATTCTATTCTATTTTCTTGAACCATTTGTCAATTTTCTCAACAAGACCACACTGTCTTAATGGTCTTTATGGCAAGTCTCCCTTCTGGTGGAAAGATCTCTCTATTCTTGATGGGCTGAGCTTCACTCTTTGTATTTCTTTTTTTTTTTAAAAAAAAAATAATACATTTTATTGATTTTTTACAGAGAGAAAGGGAGAGGAATAGAGAGAAACATTGATGAGTCCTAACTGGTGGATAGAGCATTTTGCTCAGTGGATAGAGCATCAGCCTGCAGACTGAAGGGTCCCAGGTTCAATTCTAGTCAAGGGCACATGCCTGGGTTGCAGGCTTGATCCCCAGTAGGGGACATGCAGGAGGCAGCCAATCAATGATTCTCTCTCTCTCATCATTGATGTTTCTATCTCTCTTTCCCTCTCCCTTTCTCTCTGAAATCAATAAAGATATATATATATATATATATATATATATATATATATATATATATGTATATATATGTGTGTATATATAATATATATGTATATATAATTTTTTTTAAAGGAACATTAATGAGAGAGAAACATCGATCAGCTGCCTCCTGTATGCCCCCTACTGGGAATGTGCCCACAACCAAGGTACATGCCCTTGACCAGAATTGAACTGGGACCCTTCAATCAGCAGGCCGACGCTCTATCCACTGAGCCAAACCAGTTAGGGCAACTCTTTGTATTTCAATATACATATTAAATCATCTTGTCCATTCCATAAAAACTATGTTGGGCTTTTCAGTGGGACTGCATCAAAACTATAGTCCATTTGGAAGGAACTGACATCTTTCCATCAAGTCCTCTAATCCATAAACATACCCATTTCTTTGGGTTCTCTTTAATTTCTCCCAATAATGTCTCATAGATTTCTGTGAAGAGCTCTTGCACATCTTACATTGCACTTATTTCTAGGTGTTGGATATTTTTGATGCTCTTAAATTGGAACTTTTTAATTTTTTAAACTTTCGGCTGCATATAGATGTTCAACTGATTTTTGTGTACTGCTTTTATATCCAACACATTTATCCAACTTGTTATTTTTAATTCTTTTGGATTACCTAAGTACATGTGAAGAAAAACAGTCTAATTGCTTCCTTTCCGATCCTCATGATTTTTTTCTCTTGCTTCTTTGCACCGTCTAGGGCAGTGGTTCTCAACCTGTGGGTCGCGACCCCTTTGGCGGTCAAACGACCCTTTCATAGGGGTAGCCTAAGACCATCCTGCATATCAGATATTTACATTACGATTCATAACAGTAGCAACATTACAGTTATGAAGTAGCAACGAAAATAATTTTATGGTTGGGTTACTACATGAGGAACTGTATTTAAAGGGCCAGAAGGTGGAGAACCACTGGTCTAGGGTCTCTATGTGACAGTGAAGTTATGTGATGAGAGGAGGCATCCTTACCTGTTTCCTAATCAGAAAGAAAAAATATTCGACATTTTACCATTAAATATTGTTTAATATAGTTCTTGCTTTTAAATGTTCCTTGTAAATATTGAAGACATGTTGACTGCAGCCTGTGAGACCCAGGTAGGCCACGCTGGACTCCCAATCCACACAGACTGAGAAAATGTTTGTTGCTTTAGGCTGCTAAGTTTCTGGGGGAACAAGTTACACAACCAATGCGGAAGGGATGTGTAATCCTCCCCTCAATGGTGATGTTAGGAGCACCGTGTGGCAGAAAGGGCACAGGTTTCAGAATCAGGTAGACCGAGAAGTCCACTCCTACCCTATGAGTTATTTGAGAAGTCCACTCCTACCATATGACTCATTTAATATTCGTCATCCAGTTTTCTCCTGGAAAATGGAGATAACATCCCCTCTTAGAGGTGCTGTGATTCCGTGTGATAGGGTGAAATTCTCAGTACAGTGTGGCACACAGTAGGTCTCTATATGCACAGTTCCCTTCTTTTACAAAAGTCCTATCATGCCCTTTACATAAACTGATATTTCATAGATGCCATCAGAATATATTGTGTAGCAATGGGGTAGAACATGCTATGGAAAATCTTAGAAATTCAGGACATCTTGTTGCCGAAACATTGCACAAGCTCCCCTTCATTTTTTTTGACAGGCATTAAAACTGCCTGTGCTGACCATCTGGATTCTCTCTCTTCCCCTGGTTGGGCCACTGCTGTGCATGACGATGAGTTAGATATCACACGTCATTAGCAGTTGAGCCAGCTGTGTAGGATCCATTTCACTGGGAACCCACAGGCCTCACTTCGAACCAAGCCTTGACAATTCTTGTTGCTGCTGTTAGAAGTAAATGCTAAGATGTAAGGTAATCTCCCACTGCCTACACTCTCTCTTCAATGGATGTCAACAGCGACATGGAACTGGGCCCCCAGTTTAGAAGCTGCCCAGTGAGGCAGGATTTGGGTTGGAACTCCAAATCTTACCTCTTCCCTTATAGGATCCTGGATAAGTTGTTTTCCCTGAGCCTGTTTTCTTTTCTTCTGTAAAATAGGAATAAGAATATTTACCTACCCAGGGTCATTTTACCGATTGTATTGGGGGGGTTGGGAAGCATTTGGCAATTAATAGGTACTCAATACATTTTTTAAAAAAGTCTTTCTTGTGCCAAGGGGTCAAAGAGTGGGCTGGTGGGATACTGATGCTGCTCGTCAGTGTGGTCTAGGGCTCAGAGCACGGGCATCGCCTGGGAGCTTGAGTCTCGGGCCCACCCTGGGCATGCTCACTCAGGATCTGCATTTCTACAAGATCCCCATGAGTAGCAGTAACTGAGACGAGAAACTGAAAGGATGTAGGATGTTGATGACATCGTGGCAAGGGTGGGTCTGCAAATGTTGTGGGCTCTCCCTGTGTTTGTTGCATCTGAATAAGAATGACTTCCTCTTGGCATGAAACTGAACTCCCAGGAGGACTTGCTCCAGCACAGAAAAGCCAAACCACTAATCTGAATAAATAAGCATCAATTTTATTGAATCATGAATAATTTAAGACTGGTACAATCATCAGCTTTATTCTCCATGACGTGGGGCATTATCTCCAGCAGATCACTGGCAAATCCAAAAACCTCATGACAAATGAAAATTAAATAGGGAGAGAGGGAGGGGAGGAGGAAGGGAGGGAGGACGGAAACATACCGTACACAAAATACTCAATTCCTAGTTTTCTCTTTAAAAATGGCTAGAAAAAATTCATCAAAATGCAGCACTTTAATCGATTATTTACAATTTCTATGTTACAATGAAAAAATGTACATCTTATAGAACATATTTCATAAACTGCTCCACTGGAAAACAACTAGATCAATACAGCAAACCTCCCGTTGAATATCCACAACGTTGGATTATTTTTTCTTCTTTTTGAAGTAGATTCGCCACAATCAAATTTGAATATACAGAATTCTGAAGTTTAGAGCATCAGCAATTAAATAAAAAATGTTCCCAAGATACAACGAAGGTGTAGGCAAAACCCATTCCTGGTCCCCCCACCTACCCCACCCCCCACCTTAAAGGAAAAGGCATTCCCATCTCATTTATGGCCTGTATAAGTCTTGGCAGTTTGGGAAGAAACTTTTGGCTTCCATTGGTAACTCAACATAAATGTTGCATAGAATTTCATACATTTCAAAATTAGCCTAAACTGTAGAAAAAGGCAAAATGGAAGCATTTCGGACAGAGCCCTAAATGAGCACAAAGTCACTTTGTCAAAGGTGAGTGACACGAATAAAGTAAAATATGACCAAGAGGAGAAATGTGCACATCAGACAACCCTGCTTCCGAAGCTCTAGGAAGGTCACTGAGTTGTGAATCACACAAGGGCTACACTACTTGGAATCACTTTCACTAGTCAGGCAGCACCAGGGACGGAGGTCTCGGTTCTGAACCTGGACCCAGTGGGAGGGAAGTCTGTGGGAGAGGGGAGAAGAAAAGAGGTGAGAGAGAGAGAGAGAGAGAGAGAGAGAGAGAGAGAGAGAGAGAGAGAGAGAGAGAGAGAGAGAATATCTCAAACAATACTGGCAGGTGTCTACTCACAAGGTGACTGGGAAAACTGCCCATGAGGAACAGTCAATTTTACCTCTTCCCAAATTCACAGTATGAGCGTAAGGTCATCACTGGGAGATACAATGAGAAGGACCACTCTTCAGGTTGCCCAGAAGGCTCAGGGTTTGGCCTGTGGTCACAGGCTAACTATATGGTTTAAGGGTTTTATGAAAAACAGAACAGAACAAGACACACTCACACACCCAGATGATTGATGAAGGCTTAGCAGACGAGAGTCCGAGTTTACTGAGATTAAAACCGGGACAGTGTTGAGAGGTTTGTCCGTGCACCAGTTAGTGGGAAAAATTCCCCTTTTCCTTTCGAGGAGGGAGAAAATGGTTCTCCAATGCAGTGTGAGCAGTGTCAGGTCAAGCTCTTGTGGTAAAATGAAAACAGAGAGAGATGGACCTTCAGAAATAGAAATCGAAAGATGGAATAAAAACCCTGATCATTAACAGAGATGCCCCCACTGGGGTGGAATATTGATTCTCCTTATAAAACAGAAACAAACAACTGAAAGGTTTACCACACTCTGTAAGGAAGATACCAGTATGTTGAAGACACGTACTAGCACGGCATGTAACCAGCAACATCACGTAGACCTGGAGGAACTTCTGCCTACGTGTTAGCTGGAGACTGTTAAGAACCTAAAAAATGGATCTTTTTTTTTCTTTTTTCTTTTCTTTTTTCCCATAGTCACACACCCATACAAATGAGTCTTTTGGATGAGATAAAAGTCACAGCAACGTGAGTTCTCCTACTGAGTGGGATGACTTTTTAGCCCTGTTTGCTCTGATGGGGAAAATAAAAAAACGGACCCCAGGCAGGCACGACACTCATCCATGAACACGGTTAGTACAAAACCAGTAAGGCATCACTTTGGGAAGGTCAGCACCGAAGAGGTCAGGCAAGGCTCGTCCGACGAAGCCCGAGGCTGGGGCATCCAGGAGGGAGTGGCCGGGCTGCCACTCCCTAGTTGAGTTGCATCACGTTTGTTCTGAGAAAAGTGCAAGTCTTTCGAGAGGTGACCTCACCACCCACCTGAGGTTGGAGCTGGCACGCTGGAGGTGTCGACGTGCGTTCCGAAGCCTCGAGGACAGAAGGAAAGGCAAGGTCCCGGCTCCCCCACGTGCTGAGGATGGGGTCCCGGCCCACTCCACAGGACGTGGTGACCCAGGCCCCAGTGGGAGGCGAGTGTGTGGAACTGTGAGGATGGACAACTGAAAACCAAGACTCAACTCCAGCGGTTCTCACTTCCACCAAAGGATTGATTCTGACTGCGGGTGGACGGGGTGGGGGTGGGGTGCGAGGGTGGGGAAGGGAAGGAGACAAATCTTCAAAATCAAAGAGTCAGAAAGGGAGAAACTCAACCTCATTCTCAAAGGGGTCATCAGTTCTCCAAAGGAGACCAATTCTCACTGGACACAGTGTTTGCAGAAAAGAAACCTGATTCATTTCTAAGGAGACAGACGCATGCTGTCTGCCCTGGCAGGTCCGCTCGGGCACATTCTCACTCCTGCACGCACACTCGTAGGCTCACCGGAGGTGACGGGGGGAGGTGTGGCTGGACTGGAACAGGCAAAATACCTCTCGGGGAAGGAGAGCACCATTTAGGAAACAGAACAGAGCAGAGAGCACGAGGTGTTTTCTCCTAAGGTTTCCCTGTGCGTAGCGCTGACGTTTGTTGTGTGACAAAGCAAGTGCCTCGTTAGCACCAGTTCTCTGTGGCCGGTTGGGTGAGTTGGCATGGACGTGAGGGTGCTGGCGGCCAGACCCACTTGGCAGGGTCTGAGTGAGGGGAAGCCGTGCTGTCGGGGTTTCAAGGTTTGCTCCAGTCTGTCTGTCTCTGGGCAGCTCGTGGCAGGATGCTGTTTGGTTTCAGAACTTCAAGTGGGGTTCCCATGTTTAACCCTTTTCGTTTCAACGGTGATGGTCCTTTCCCGAGAAGTATCTTCAGTGACTTGGGGAGGTCACAGCAACAAGGCAAGAGCAATGATTTAAATGAAACCGAAGATAGTGCAGTTCTCACTGTGGAAGGAAGCAGTCCCAGGGGGCTGGCCCGGGATGGCTGCACCCAGGTCTGGGAGGGAGGACCGGGGGCTTGGTGTTCCTGCAGCGCTCATGCTGCGGCCGGGCTGGCTCAGGAGGGCATCTTCAGGATGGTGCAGAGGAAGGAGGTGAAGTGGGGCGAGGCGAGGAGGAGGTGGGCAGGCTCCATGGCTGGACCCTGTCACAGAGTTGACTCCAGGGATGAGTCCAGGATGTCGTCGTGATGGCTGTTGCTGTTGGAGTCGCTGTCGTAGCTCTGGGGGCTGGAGTAGTTGGCTGCCTCCTGCAGCCTCATCAGCATGTTCATCTGAAAAAGGCAGAGAGCATGAGCGGCTTTCTGGCCAGTCCGCCACCGCCCGCCCTGGCCTCCTGCGAGCTCACACCTGCTCCGCTAGACTCACCTTGGGACTGCAGCCCACATGGGCTCTGGACCAGGCTTCCAGGGTTCAAATCCCGGCTGCACCACTTATAGCTGCGTGACCTTGGACAAGTACCTTAACCTCTTTTGTGTCTTGGTTTCTTTATTGGTCAAATGTGAGTAATAATCACACCTGCCCTATAACGTTATGGTGTGGATTAACATATGTAGAGCACTGAGAACAAAATGGGAAGTCCCCCATCAATCTGACACTTATTTTTATTTGGGAGGGGCACATCTTACTCAAGTCTGGGTAAAGGTGCCAGTCAAGCATCCCTGCTTCTGGAACATGCTCATCAGTGCCGCTGACTTCCAAAGCACGGAATGCCCCCTTCGACGAGCCTCAAGCTCATCTGTGCCCCAGCGGCTGTCACGGCCTTCACGGGGAGCGGGAGGGCAGCGCCAGGAACAAGCAGAGCCACGGAAACAGAGAGGCCTGGATTCCAATTCCGGAATCTTTGGACAAATTACCTCATCTATCTGAGCCACCAGTGCCTGGTCTATAGATTGGAGAGAACAGCAGCTCCTATCCCCAAGGACTCAAATAGGGAACAGAATGACATAATGTGATTGGGCCCTGAGACTAGGGCCTCGCACATAGTAAGTGCTCAATGAACGTGATGTGCCATCACCACCACCATCACCACCACCACCACCATCATCTTAAAGATAACAGTTTCAAGGTAGTGTTCTTAAATCTTCCCTGACAGATCGTCTTTATTGTTTTTTGTTTGGGAGTGGAGGTGTAGAGTGAACAACTACTTTTATTTTCCTTATAACTATAAATTGTGTGTGTGTGTGTGTGTGTGTGTGTGTGTGTATTTTACATTTTGCTTAGAAAGTAAGGTAGGAAGGCAGGGTTTCTCTGAGCTGAGGCCAAGACTTGGTGCTGCTGGGCATGACATCCAGCTGCCTCCAGCCAGCGGCCCCAGGATGCCTAGCAGTTTCCCTGGGTGAGTCTGGCCACAGACAAACCATGGGCTGGTGTCCACAGTCATCCCTGGGAGCAGGGAGTGGGGGTGGAGGTCAAATGCAGTCAACCACCCTTTGCAGCTGAGATTACTTATTCACTCATCACTTCTACCCACAGCACGTGGTCCCGCATACACACAGGTGTGGCCTGTTCTCTCGGGGGTCTCAGTCCCCTGAGAAGAGAGACTAGTAAACAAGATGGATAGCCTGGGCAGAGGGCATGGGCTTGGGAGGAACACCCATATCTAACTTGTCACTCTGGGAGCCTGGGGTTGGAGGGAGCCCTCAGGTGTCACCTAGACACCCTCTGTGTTCAATCAGTGATACAGAGAGTTCTGGCTGAGCAAAGGATGTCTGGGAGCGAGCCGCCATTCTTCCCTCCAGCCACCGCGCATTCTATTTTTACGTAAGACCTCATGAGCTCGCACCCACAAAAATGTCCCCGTGACTCTGGATTTGAGCAACGGTTAACGTTAGAAATGGCTTCTTAAAGTTTGATCTTTTTCTCTGTAAAACAGTTACAGCCACTTAAAGTATAGTTCCTGTTAAAAAAAGCCTCAGCAGGACCAGAGCTCCACCCCTCCAGTCTGGAAGATGGCAGATGACCCAAAGCACCGTTCTTTTTTAAATCCAGCAAATCAATTAGTCAGCACTGGTTGTCTTTCCATCCTGCCGCATCACTTCTGAACATTTCCTTTCACTAGGTAATGCGAGCTATTTCTCTGATGTGCTTTTCCCTTTGCTTTAGCTGCCACGGGTGCTCCCGGCAAGGCATGAGAACGGTATTTCACCAGGGCAGGCTCTGGCACATTTGCTTTCACCACATTTCATGGGGCAGTTGCTTCTTTAGGTCTCATTCTGCAGGATGACTATGCAGGCGTCTCATATTGGCAGAGCGACTACAGCAAGTCCTCGAATAACATCCTTTCCTTATGCTATAGATGAGAGGACCCAGGACCCTGATTCTTACTTATATCAATTAGCCTATGGTAACTGATATACGTGGTTCTATTCCATGTGGTTTCACTTAAAGTCACAGGACCTACTGAGGAGGTTAAGTGAGGACTTAGCTGAACTGCAGCGTTACCACCACGGGCCCAGGTTCTGCTTAAAGGATCTCTATGGCTTCAGCAATGACAGCGTCAATAAGCAGCTCAGACAATGTTAAGACCTAACTCACCTCGCTGGCCACGGGGCCCATGTTCAGGCCTCCTGCCTGCGCGACTGCTGGCCTGGGCTTCTGCTCCTCACCCAGCTCTGCCCATGCTGTTACTGGGGGAGAGGTCGCTGGAGCAGGACAGCACATGATAAAGGTGGCACTGAACCCAGAGGGCAGAGTGGCACAAGGACAAGTAAATTCTCACCTTTGACCTTCTGCTACAGACCATTTCAGAGGGGTTCAAGACATTAGCGAAAAACTAAAACCATAGAAGAAAATCCTGGCAGACGTGTCCCTAATCTTGGGATGGGCCCAGTCACCCAAAGCAAGGCTGGGGCTCAGTCGCCTGTTTCCAGCGGGCCTTGCTCCCAGGAGACAGTAAGTGCTTGGTGATGGCTGAGCTGCTCCGGGAGCTGAGAACTCACCAGCGGGTCTCCTTCAGCGTCGCTGGGGGGCATCTGCTTGCTGGCCGAGCCCTCCCGAGGCATGGAGTAGCCGTCGAAGCCGACATCCTCGGGCCGGAGCTGCAGCAGGGGAGGCCACTCGTGCTGCTGCGGGCTGGCTGCCCAGGGGTAGGTGTCCATCACCCACTTGGCAGGGTCCTCCCAGGGGGCCCGCCTTCCGTAGAGCTAAGGGGAGGCCAGGAAGGAATGGTTAGGAAGGGCTCAAACCTCCTCTGCAGCCCTGTTTTGCAGCTCTCCGAAAAGTTCCCCGAACGCAGCGTTATGCCTCCCCTGACAGGGTAATTCTACTTCCAGAATGCTACTGTAAGGGAGTCATCCAAGGTGGAGAGTGGATGTGCTAAGACTGAAGGCAGCATGACTCAGGTGTCAGGAACACCGGCTCTGGAGTCAGGTTGACGGGCTCACGCCTCAGCTCTGCCACTGACTCACTGTTACCCTGAGTCTGGCTGATCTACCTGAATGGTGGCCAGCTTCCGTGGTAGAAACAGTCCCAGCACAGCCAATGCCAAACTACCAACACGACCTCACTGAATGTGGAGCTGGAAAGAGGGGCCGGCTATCAGCTCCAGCGCCCTCCTGCGTTACTGCCAGATCTAGCACCCTCCTGCATTACCACCAGCTCCAGCACCCTCCTGCATTACCACCAGCTCCAGCACCCCCCTGCATTACCACCAGCTCCAGCACCCCCCTGCATTACCACCAGCTCCAGCACCCCCTGCATTACCACCAGCTCCAGCACCCTCCTGCATTCCCACCAGCTCCAGCTCCCCCCTGCATTACCACCAGCTCCAGCACCCCCCTGCTTTACCACCAGCTCCAGCACCCTCCTGCATTACCACCAGCTCCAGCACGCTCCTGCATTACCACCAGCTCCAGCACTCCCCTGCATTACCACCAGCCCCAGCACCCTCCTGCATACAACCACCCGGAGAATTCCTTCCGCTGGCCACCAACACCACAGGCAGAGGTCACAAATGACCCTGTTCTGGTAAAACCTCATTTCTTGAGGAGGGTCTGACTCTCATAGTCCCTCTGTAAACTTTCAAAACAGCAGACTGTTAACAGAGGTTACATGTGGGTGGTGCTTCTCCCCGCCCATATATTTCTCAAATTTTTCCATATTAACTAATTTGCTCTTAAAAGGGAAAACGATATTATCACTTAATTTTGTAAAACTGCTACCATGCCTCCACACTCCTTTCTTTAAGCTTTAATGATAACACGATTTCAGCGGTGAGTCTCAGACAGGATTCTGTGAAGGGGGCCAGTGCGTGTGCATACGCATCTGTGTCAGAGAGAAAGGGAACACAAACATGTGGGGATATTTGGGATCGAAAAAGGCTGTTCCAGAGTAGGAACATTCCTGCAATTTTTAGAAACTTCCCCCTCCAAGGGCCTTCCCCGTGGAACTGGCCTGCTTTGCCCGGGCCAGACTTCACGTGGGTGAGGCTGCACCCAAGCCCCATTTCTGACAGCTCCTGCTTCTGTCTCCGCCCTCCCGCCTGGAGGAGATGCTCAGGGCGGCAGGACCACAGAGGCTGGAAGGGGGAGGTCAGCCAGTCCTCAGAGGGAGTCTGGCCTGGTGGTTTTCAAATATGTGCCCTTCTCCCCTGACCCCATCACTGAAGAATCTGAGGAACTTTTGGGCTCCACAGAAGACAGCCTGAAAAACACTCTTTGGGCCCAAACTTTTCAAGCACAGATGGGTACCCTAGAGAAGGGAGACTTGCCCCGGTCTCAGAGCAACCGGGTAATCTGATAAAGCGCCCGCGCCTCCCTTTATGGGGGCTGGGGGAGACGACGACGACACAAAGACCTTTCGAGTTACTCTGTAGACTAGACACTTTGGCAAGTGTTTACAGTGACAACTCCAGAGGGGAACAGGGCTGGGGCCTGACGCATCGGACAAATGTGCAGCTGGCAAATGCGAGCAGCATCGGCAAGAACAGGAAGTATTTTACAAGCCTCCCCACTTGCCTCTGGACATGTTCCAGTCCGGGTGGTGAATGGCTGGGTAAGGACCGTGGCAAGTACAGGAAACACTGTGAAGCGCCTTGGCCCCCGTGCAGAGCCTGTGGCAGCGCTAAGCAGCAGCAGAGACAGTGGATAGACAGGCAGACAGACAAATAGGACATTTGCTTTCACCACAGCACACATTCGGGAAGAGCCTCCAGGCAGTTACACACTCACACCCCACTGGGAAAAGACTCCGAGTCAAGACTTGCAAAGGTGTCTGGTATCCACTAGGGGGCGATGCCACAGTTCCTCTGGGAGAGGATGTGTCTGGTGGAGGAACTGTCTAGCGGTCAGTGGTGGGCCTGATCTCAGCAGGAGCTCTGGTCCCCCTCCCCCCACCACAGGCAGCCCTGCCAGAGTCCACCCTGGGGCCTCGACCTCTTCTTAGCTTATAACCTCGGCCAAGAGCTCACCTACTCTGAACCAATGTGCTGCCTTCATGGCCTCTCTACTCACCTAGCAGGGCCAGGTGAGGACTAAATGGCCCCGTCCGGTGCTCAGCACATAGTGAGCATGGAATCAAGGTGACACGGAGGAGAGTAAGGAATTTAAAACTTTTTAAAATAGAGGAATCCTTTTGTCAAGTGAAATCTGTCGTAGAACTCCACTACCTGAACCACAGTACTTGGCTCCCCGAACCAACTGAGGCTTCTGGGGAAGTTCGGACAGTGTGCAAGTCAGGGAGGTAACCGAGGAGTCAGCTAGACTGGGCTCCAACACTGGCTCATCACACCCCAGAGTCAACTTGGGGTAAAGCTCCCGGGGCCGTGGTCTCCTCACCTGTCAGGTGCTCTGAGCTGTTAAAGCTACACGAGAGGCATGTCAGGCCCCCAGCAGCGTGCCCGGCAAGTAGCAAACCCTCAAAAAACAGTCAGCAAACTTTCCTTCCCAACTAGAGGCATAAGAACACACCAGGTTTCCCGTGAATTAGCAGGTTCCCTGGGGCCTCCAAGGCTCAGCAGGGCGATGAGGTCGGAGGGCTGAGCCCAGGGGCTCATTTCTGAGCAGACTGGTAAAATGCTAACTCCAGCCGCCTCCCCTGGTGGCTCCCAGGCTCTGGAAAGATTGTTCTTCAAATGACCTCCCAGCACCAGGAAGGGATGACTTTTCCTGTCCGTATGTCTTATGAGATGGAGGCATGGCTCTGGTTTCCTGCCCTTTTCAAGTTCTTGTCTGAGTGCCTCTGAAGACCCTCAGTGCGGCTGCATGTTACCGACAAGCAGTCAGACACTCGCTAGGCTCAGCCAAATGCATGGAAATGACACACAGCCCTTGTACTGTCACACGCACCCTCCGTGACCTCCACAGGCCTACGGCAGCGTCTTGTGTCTCCCGATGCCCAGGACCGAGGAACAGAGAAGCCCTGGGAACCGGCTGCTACACTGGTTGCTGACTGTTCAGCTGTGCGTGACACATGCTCCTCACGGAACGCCGGGGGCCAAGCCCAGAGCTTCTCAGGCTGCCTCCAGGCTCCACAGTAAAACTTCCATCTATGGCTGAGCTCCTGGAGCTGACCCTGGGCTGAGTGAGATGGGACGTGCTGCCTCATGAGCCCACGGTCACCGGGGAGGGGTCCCAGGCAGGGAGGGAGTGCCATGGCCGCCCGAGGGCGGAGAACCTGGGATTCCAGCCAGAGGTGTGGACTCAAATCCCAGATTTTTCAAGGTTGACTCTTATGACCCCCGGCAAGTCACTTATTCTCCCTTGAGACTCAACTCTTCTCCTCTGAAAAATGGAGATAAAAATATCTCTATATTCCAGGACAAATGCAGGGCTTGAACCAAATAGCAGATATGAGAGGACTTCGTCAACTGTGAAGTGCTACACACGCTTGCTTCCGTTTCTTTGCACTCACTATGCTGAGGGCATCACAGCCAGGATGCATTTACCCTTTGCAACAAGTCTTTGTGGCACAGGACTGTCATTCTCCTTTTCTATCCACGAGGGCACTGTGGCACAGAGAGGCTGAACGACTTGCCTGGGGTCACACAGCTTACAAGAGGCAGAGCCAGGACTTACAGCCAAGTGTGTCCCTGCACTGTGCCAGACTGCTGGCCTCACAGGTGAGGGAGGGGCTGTCACCTCATGTCAGTCAGAATCCTGGAGGAGGAGATAAAGCCCCCTCATCCGGTCACTAGAACAGTCCCCCTTCCTCCCCCCTCATTTTGCTGTGTCTCACCTGGAGTCCTTCCCTGACGGCTTCCAGGAGATAGGGGATAATTGAGTAGTTCCACAAGTCGGTGAACCACACCCTGGAGCCATCCACGTCGATGGGGCATGACAGGAAGAGCCGGGGGCCTGGGGACCAAACAAAAGTCCATCAGAGCTGAGTGGGGGGGAAGCCAGGAGAAGCCACGATCTAAGCATCCCTCCCAATTTCTGAGTGACAGCAGAAATTCCACCTGCCGGTGGCGGGCACAGAGCAGGACACGTGGGCTCTCCAACACCCCTCCTCCCGACCCCCAGGATCTCTCTGCCCCAGGAAATCACCCAAAAGAGAGGAAAGGCTTTACGGAGAAAGATGTTCCTCGTGGTATTATTAGTCCTGACCTTTGAAAATGCAAACACACTAAATGTCCAAGAAAACAGAAATGGTGCCGCGAGTGATGGCGTACCCGCACGTGAGTCTTTTCCAGCCTTTAAAAATAATTATAAAACTGGAGCAGCAACTCAGGACGCTTACGAGACAATGTGAGGTGAAAAAGAAATGAACGTGCTGTAGGTATACTCTGATGGCAACTAAGCAAAATATCTATGTGTGGACAAGGGCAAAAATCAGCTCAAATTAAAATAATCCTGTCAGGAGGGTGGGATGATCAATGACTTTTTCCCTCTGTTCTAAATTCTTAAGCTCCAGGAATGTTGGTAACGTTTTACTTTATTTTTAAAGCAGAGCCTTCGGGGTTGGGCACTTCACTGAGCTGGCAGTTTCCACATCGGCCCAGGCTGGACCATCTCTTGCTGCTGATCAGCCCCAGGGCATTGGGCAAGGCAAGAGGGGCAGAGACACAGCAAGGGATGTGGGCGAGGCAGTCGGGGGTCTGCCTTGGGCTGGGACTGTCCCCTCTGCCTCCTTCTCTGTCTACATGAACAGAACAGAGTCCAGCTGACTTGGGCCTGCAGGGTGCTGCCCTGGCCAGGGCCCCCGGACAGTCTCCGAGGAGCCGAGCTCAGCGCCGCCCTGAGCCAGCCCACCCACCGTTCTCGCCTGGCTGCCCACCTACCTATGGTGACGTCTGAGGAGCTGTGAGCCTCCAGGAAGCGGTTGAGGTGATGCCAGACCTTGGGAATCCAGTCGATGATTTTCACCAGCTCCACATTCCGCACCCGCCCACTGATCTCCGTCTCCATGAGCTTCCGCCGCAGGAACCGGCCAAGGAAACCCTTCACGGGCTCCGTGTGGTTGGCACAAAGCACCCACCTGGGGGACAACAGGTTTTCAATGATTACGACAGTGAAGAAACGAGGGCTAACCTCAAGACTCAATGCGCACGAGAACTAGACAGATGGTGTGTATGCTGACACTGAAGTAGGACTCCCTGTGCAAACACTGAATGTATATTAATTCACCTTTCCTCACAGCCACCCCATGACACAGATATTATCGCCATCCTCATTTTACAGATGGAAATGTGAAGGCGCAGAGAGGTTATGTCCAAGATCAAAGAAGCAAGTTAATAGAAGAGCTAAGGATAGAACCAAGACAGTGCAGCTCCAAAGTCTGAGCTCTAACCACTGAGTCTGCTGCCTCTTGTGCTTGTGTCACTGTGCTGGGCCATAGAGCTGTAAGAATGACTGAGACACATTCGTCCCTGTTCCCAGGAGCTCACAGTCTTGTCGAGGAAGCAGATAAGCAAACAGAGGAATTGAGGCATGATGAGCCCCAGGGAATCAGGGAAGGCTCCTCGGAGGAGGGGCTGTCTGGGCTGGGACTGGAAGAATGGATGGAGCAGCCACATAAGCAAAGGCAGGAGCAGGGGGTAGGGTGGCAGGTGGGAGAGCTTGCTGAAGCATTTGCAGAGACATGGGAAAAGGGGTGGGTATTTGGGGAAACTGCCAGAGGCCATGTAACCAGACTTTAGACTTGACCTGCCAACCCACCGAACCTGGATGCATTCTGGAGGCTATGAGGAACCACTAAAGCACTTCAGGGGGGAGGGTTTATGGTCAGATTTGAATACTAGGACGGTCATGCCAGCTGCCACTGCCACTGGCACAGAGGATGAGGCCACTCTGCAGGCAGTAGTGCCCAGGGATGTGATGTGGCGTGGCAGTGGCGGGGGAAGGAGGAGGAGGAAGGACTTGAAGCATCTTTAGGAGAAAGCGTGGACAAGACCGGGATAGCCTGGATGCGGAGGGGAGCCACGATCTCAGGGGTCTGGAGGAGGTCACATTTCCCAGGGAATGACAATTGAGGCCCACTTCCCAGAGATCTCCCTCAAGGATGCCTGCAGAATGGCCAGTGAGAATGGGCGAGGGTGCCATCCCAGGACACAATTCTCATCCTCATCTAAGGGCCAGCCGGAGGCGAGGAGCGCTAGGGTCACCAAGGGGTCAAAGTGGGGCAAAGGGCGTTTAGCGATGGCACCACAAGGCAAGTGGCAACCCACGCAGGCACGACAGTGCAGCAGCTCTTCCCACACCCAGCAGGGAGCCCCGCGTGGTGCTGGGGCAGAGGGCACATGGCAGCTGGAGGCAAAGGCCCACAGACCCCCAGACAGCTCTTGGGGACAAAGCAAGGGCTTTCATTGCTCATGTTCACCTGGGCCCCCTAGAGACGTGCCCCTGATGTGCCGGGGAGGCGAGTGGCCTACTGTCCCTGCCCGAAGCTGCCTCCCTGTCTCTGCTACCCCAGGACTTCGTGACCTCACACGAGTCATCTAATTCTCCCAGCCTCAGTCTCCCCATTTGCAAGCTGCGAATGAGAAATGTAACTACATGGGGCTATCGTGAGAATGAAGAGTGAAGCTGGAAAAAATGCTCCACACGATGCCTGGCACAGATCTGGTACTCAGAGGGTGACACCTTACCTGAAGTTGTGATGGAGCTGCAGGTTGGGAGTAGAAGAGGTAGCCTGGTTCATTGTGCCGATTATGTAAGGGCTGTGGGGGACACAGGGGAAAGAAGAGGACTTTGTGAGGCAAGCCCAGCTCCGGACGGGCCTACAGGGTCCGTCCAGGCAGCTGGCTGGCTGCCTCCCGGCCCCCCACGCTGACCCCAGCCGTGTATGGGCACAGGTCTGTGCAGCACACCTCCCCTGTGGCCGTTCTCCCGGGGCCAGGGCCTGGAGCTGGCCTTTACCATCTGTGGTCCTTGCAGCTGAGCAGCCCATTGAAGATCTCGCCCAGGGAGCTGACATGGTGCAGGTTGTCCAGGATGATGACGAGAGGCATGTCCGCAGCGTTGTTCTCACTGGCGCACTGGTCGGCAAGGTTGGACAGGTACTGGCGCAATTCCTGCATGGGCCAGGGAAGGGCGGGATGCAGCCGATGAAGAGCACACGCTCAGAGCCTGCACGTCGCCCAGGCCAATGCAAGGGCCAGGCCCTCCATGGTCAGCATGCCTGCCTGCTGCAGGGGTCAGCTTGGGTGATGTGGGGAGGACAGAGTGGGGAAGGCCTGCGTCCTGCCTTCTGGCTTTCACTAGGGAACAGAACTCCTTCAGCCGAGGGCCAGAGCACAGCAGCATGGAGGTGCCCAGGCCAGGTTCTGTATCCCTGCTCTACCACTTCTCTGTATGTGTCGCCATTTTTCTTGGATAGTTCTGATTGTGCCAACCTCCCAGGAAGCTCCAAAGGGCTCCAGAGGTGCCTTATACACCTCTGTGTAGGCTGCATACGTTCCGTATAAGGTGCTCTTCCACGGCGCCTGCCTGAGGGCCTGTATGCAGAAGCCCTCCATGAATAATATCACACAGCATCCTCGTAAGTGCCGCTGAGAAGCGCTGTGGCAGACAGACATCCAACAGTGCAGGGGGAGGTGGGTCTGCATGCCCAGGGGCCTTGGGAGGTCTGGGTGAAAGGGTGAGATCTGAATTGAACTGTGAAGAATGGCTGGGGGATTGGCTGGAGCTGGGGCCAGAACACAGCTCAGTGTGCCCGGGGAAGGCCTGTGCTCTAAAAAGGAAGAGAAGAATAATGGTGCAGAAGGGGAAAGGGCTGAAATGGCAAGTTAAGGACCGGCCAGAGAACCCAGGATGACTGCCTGGTGATGTCACCATCATGCTGGTATGACCTAGAGCCGGGCACAGCTCTGAGGGCCTCACACAGCCGAACTTCTGTAGCCCACAACCCTCTGGGGTGGGTACTATGCGTAGCTCCCGTTTACAGAGAGGGAAACCGAGGCACACCCAAGTCAGGTGACTTCCCTGAGATTGCAGAGAGGGCAAGCAGCGGGCTGGATTCAGACTCGGTGCCTGTTCAGTGTGCTCCTCACAGCCAACACTCTGGCATGCCAGCCGCCGCCTCCTACGAACACACACATGCCCACGTCTCCCTCATAAGTCACAATGCGGCTTCAGCCCAACTTTTTGAGTTACTAGTAATTTTTCCTTCTTTGAGCTCCTTTCCATCTGGGTTCTTGGCCTCAGCCTTACAATGACAGGGCTCCTGGGCCTCCCACCCCTACTCAGGCCTTCGTGGTACAGAGGGTGAGACGCCTTCTGCACGAGGTGCCCAGCCAGGGCGTCCTTCATTCACTGGTCCTCAGCCCACACCGAAGCTTTTGACTCAGAAGCTCGGACCACTTCTCTCCAGTCCTGTCCCCACATCCAAGTCACCTGGAAACCTGTGAATGGCCCAGGTTCCTGGCCCACACAATCTATTGGAACAGGGCACCAGGGAATGAGGGTGAGGAAGCCCCATTGGCAGGGATGCCAGGTGATTCCTAAGATGGAAGAGTCCTTTCCAGTTCACCTTGGACTCTGGCCCCTTTGCAGAGAGCCAGCCAGAGGGAATTACCATTAACTCCACTGTGCGAATAGCAAACAAGTGTGAGAAACCCCTTCCCAACCCGCGGCTGGGATTCAGTCAGACCGTCCAGTGTCTCCGTTGCTCCCTGTGAGGCAGGGCCAAGCCTATTTGCTGGCTCTGGAGTCCAAGGCTTTGACTTGCGCTCCAGTCCACTTCTCAGTACCGCCTGAGTGACCTCAGACACATGACCATCTGCCTCAGGTCTCAGTTTCCTCCTCTGTGAAGTGGGGATAGCAGCAACTGGTCCCTTCATGGCTAATAGCTGTGAGCTATGAGGCGGCCAGCTTGCGGTCATGGGGCAGTCTGTCAATAAGAACTATCATTCTTGTTCCAAAAAGGGTTTCGTTTTGGAAAAACAATAGCATCACCAGGCACATGATAAATTCTTGGTAAATTGAAGTAGACTTAAGGAACTATTAGCACTGAACATGTGGCTCATAGTGGGGAAGCAAGAAATGAACTAGATTGACTTACAGGTGAAATTTAGTGGGAAGTTTTGGGTCAAAGCCTTACTTCCTGCTAGCCCCATCCTGACCTTCACTGGGCTCTCATAACCACCAAAGTGAGTGCACAGAAAATGCTGCTTTCCCATCAGGGTGGGGTGACATCAACAGTTCTGAAAGGGCCCAAAGGTGAGCCCTGGCTGGGCAGCAGCCTCGGAAAGATCTCCTCACCTTGCTGGACTTGTGGTCCACGTTGAAGGTGGCGATGACCCCGTCTGTCAGCTCTCGTCCCTCCCGAAGCACCAGGTACTCGGACAGCCGGTTGGCCAGGTAGGTCTTCCCGGTGCCGCTGGGGCCGGAGAGAATGATGCGCCGGTGCTCCACCAGCAGGGAGACGTAGCGCTGCAGGATGGGCTTGGGGATCAGGGACTCGAACGCCAGCGAGTCCAGGCTGTTCTCCGCGAGCCCTGTGTGGGAGAGGAAGTGTCTTAAGTCCTGCAGAAAGGGGAGCTCTGTGTCTGCCCAGCTGGCCCTGCCATGACCGGAGGCCACCCCTTTCCTGGGCAGTCCACTCACTGAGGCCCTGCAAACTGCCACTGCTTCCTGCTCAGGAGCAGCCTGGGCTCGGGCTCTGGCCCTGGCTGGCTGACTTTCGCTCACCTTTCAGACCTGGGCCCCTGGCCTTCGTCTGTTCTCTGCAGAATTCCTAAGACTCTGGGCTCGGCTTGTCTGTCTGGATTTGCCAATTGATGGTGTTTGCCCAAACCTTTGCCTCCCCTGTCTGCCAGCACCTTAGGGTTCCTTCCTGACCTTGCTCTCTCCTGAGTGCCAGGCGCCACTGCTTCCCACACTCAGGTGCACCATGAAGGTAACAACAGTTTTATTTTAAAAACAAGCAAATGCAAAGTAGGACCATCTGATTTGGGGATGTGAACCCTGGCTGTTCCGGTGTGTAATGGGGGCTGTTGTGTGTATGGGGGTGCTGTTCCGGTGTGTAGTGGGTGCTGTTGTGTGTATGGGGGGGCTGTTCCGGTGTGTAGTGGGTGCTGTTGTGTGTGTAGTGGGGGCTGTTCTGTGTGTAGGGGCGGCTGTTCCAGTGTGTAGTGGGAGGGGTTTTGGTGTGCCTGGTACCCTTTCTACCTTCTCTTATAGAACTCTTTCCTCTTATGGGGAGCTCAGTAAGACGGTTTAAGTATGGCTTGCCCAGCCCCTGCACCCACACAGGTGTGGGCTTATGATTAAGTTGAACCAAAGCCTCTCCCGGTCACAAGGATGGATTCACGGTGGGGCAGAACCACTGACTCACGGTGGGGCAGAACCACCCCGAAGAATTTTCTGTCTCACTATTCCAAAAAGACAACCGCTTTCTTCTAGGTTTCTAAGTTAAAAAATGAATCAGGGCCATGGGGGCCATGCCATGTGCAGAGAGCTCAAAAAATACAAGAAACGGAGGCAGCGTGGTCCTGGGCACTGTGGGAACACCGGAACCCAGCTGTGTGGGAAGTGTGTCCTGGGCTTTCCAGGTAAAGGGCCTCTACGTTTCCGTTTTTGCTAAAGCTGGTTTGAGTACGTCTCTGTCACTAGCAGCCCAAGCCCCGACTGTGGAATTCCACTCGCCAACAAGGTGAGGCTGCCTGTGAGGTTCAAGCAGTGCCTCACTGCTTGGCACCAGCAGGACCAGGTCTGCGTTCCCAGGTCTAGGATAAGGAATGCTGGGGTACCTTAGGAAAACCTACCCATCGGGAAACAAAACTTGCACCAAACACCCCCGAAACTGCACTGTTAAACTACAGGCAAGGTCAGTGCCCTCGAGGGAAGCAAGAAACAGGACAACCTGCAGGTTGCACTTAGTACCGTGTTGATTGGTCTATGCTTTTAGGTGGTTCATCAAATATAGGAAAAAGGGGTTTTGCAGTCAGATACATTTGTGTCAGCCTGGATTAAACAGCCTTGTGAATGCCCAGAGATAGGACATGAAAGGACAGAGCCGTGAGTGTATCAGGACGCTCCCGTCCCCTGCCCCCCAGATCCAGATGGAGATAATGATGCAGTTTCCCAGAGTTATTTGGACATGAAATTCCCTCTCCTCCCCCCAAATACTCGGTGGGCCTGGAGTTCCATGGAACACTCTTTGGCTTGGGGCTCAACATCTCTGGGTGATGAAGCCATCGGAAGCCCCGGCAACATCGTGCGTGGGCTCAGGGTGCCCAGAGCGAGTCCTCTCTAGCCCACAGCAATGCGTGGCTTCCCCATCTGTAGGATGGGACCCCATCCAAGGCTTGCTGGCAAGAGTAATTCCTTGGCGTTGGTGGAGCCCCATTTCCACAAGGTTATTAAGATTCCATCATCTCAGAGTCATCAGGCTAATGGGAACGTTTGTTCTATAATTTCAGCAGTCAACTAAAATTATTTGTTTCCGATGGTGGTTGAAAAAGCTAAGGACGGTTTAACTTGCTTAGGTAAGAATAACTGTGGTCAAAGGGAGAAAAAACACAACAACCCACATCCATATGCACAAACAACATTGTGGCCACAGTATGCCGAGCCAAGTCTCAAAATGAAGAGACACACACGCAATTCCTGAAAGCTCCGGCCCCTGCATCCGGGGAGTTACCTTTGACGGTCACGGAGATGGTGGTGTTCTCTCCCACCAGGTAGCCACAGGGCAGCAGCTCGGGCGTCTCGGAGGTGTTGCTGCGCTTGACTTCCCCGATGCTGTAGCCCAGCACACTGTCCGAATTCAGCCCGAGCTGACTCACTGGGTCGACGTGAATAATGTATTCCTGGAAAAAGTAAAACAAAGACTCCATCAAAGATGTGGCTAAAAATCTGCCCATGACTCATGTTTTCGTTGGGTGATTTACAATCATCTGCTCTTCTTTCTCAGCTGAAGCCTGAGTTGAAATGGGCTGTGGAGCGAGGGCAGAAGGGCTCACGTTCTACGGCGTCGGTGCCTCACTGTCACGGGCACTGTGAACGTTTAGTCTGGGTCAACCGAGCACGGAAAAGTCAGGCTGCTTTTCCTGAGCTCAAGTCTCAAAGGCATCGAGACCTGTGAATGGTGCTGGGAAATTTCTGACAAGAAATCTCTCCACCAGGCCCTCCTTTTGGCTCAGAGCAAAGGCCATACTGATGACAAAGGGAGCAGAACCAGGGGCTGCTAGAAAAAAAAGCAGCTCCTGGAGCTTTCAACAGGAAAATGTGTCCTTCATTGGGAGAATTCCCTCTTAGGTGAGTGACCCAAAGGTTTAATTTAGGTCCACGAACTTGGAACGAAGAGCCATGGGCTGCGGGCTCTGAGATGGCCAGACAATGGCCAAGGTGGAAGCCCAATAACAGACCTCCACCTTCAATGGTCTCTTTCCTCACATGTGACACCCCACACGTTCTTCTCAGCCCAATGTGTTGTATTTCTAACCAAGGATGTCCTCCTGCCCGTCATCAGAGATATGGTTTTGGCCCAGGTAACAGGATTGGGCTGCCCTTGGCCTTGAACGCCTGCCTACTCACATTTCTATGGACTGGCCTGTGAAGATGATATGCAATCTTTGGTCAAAGAACAGAGTTTCCTCTGTATGAAGTCACCTGACTAGATGCTAGAAAGAGGTCAGAGTGAACTAGTTAAGTCAGAAGCAAGACCAGCCGAAACCGGTTTGGCTCAGTGGATAGAGCGTCGGCCTGTGGACTGAAAGGTCCTAGGTTCGATTCTGGTCAAGGGCGTGTACCTGGGTTGCGGGCACATCCCCAGTAGGAGTGTGCAGGAGGCGGCTGATCGATGTTTCTCTCTCATCGATGTTTCTAACTCTCTATCTCTCTCCCTTCCTCTCTGTAAAAAATCAATAAAATATATTTTTTTAAAAAAAAGAAGCAGCAAGACCAACTCAACTGGACCAACAGAATCTGATTTTAGATCCATGACTTTGGGCAAGTGACCCAACCTGAGCCCAACCATCTTCGCCTTTAAATGGGAAAATAATAGAACCTTCTTTACAGGCCGGAAAATAAATCGGGGTGATGTAAGGAAAGTGCTTGGTAGGGTCTCAGGCACAGAAAACGTGGGTCATCAGTACTTCCCAGGGGACATGACTAATGAACACTTATGGCTGTTGACTTGCTTCAGGACAACAGAAAGAAGTGTGCTGAAAGCTTCCTTCAAACCACACTGAATTTCAAGGCTCACTCCAGTACTCTTTGCTCATTTCTCCCGTGGTAAAACCCACTCCAATGTGATTGGAATAAATACAAAAATAACTATGCCAACATCCTTGACACTGGCCATTGACCAGATGTTAATGTCCGTGTAGCACTAATCACAGAATGAAGTGTTGGCAAGGACGTGGGCAAGTCGATCAAATCGCCGGAAATAAAGAATGGAAATCTGATGTTTTAGCCACAGCCAATGAACACACACTCCAAAGCAGATGCAATCGGACGAGTCTAAGGTGAAGGTAGATTTGGACATGAGCAGCTCCCTGTCAGGGGTTCAAACAATTGCTCACTGCTGGAGAAATGACCCTCTGGCTCACCAGTGATGGCGAAGGGCCGTTGGAACAGTCTGGCACGTCAGCAGTCTATACTTACCATCTTCTTTCTGATCATTTGAGTGCCAGGGGACAAGTCCCAGCAACATAAGGATGTGGGAGAGGGGACAGGCCTGAGAAATGGCCGGGTTCAGGACATGAACCATCCTTCCCTCCCTAAGCCCAGGCCCCGCTTCAGGCAGACTGCCATAGCCGTCTGTCTCCCTGAAACACTTACTTTGAACAGCCGTCTAACCACCCCATCGAGCACATCCCACTTCGTCTTGCCACTCACTCCAATGCAGCCAATAAGAAAGATGTGTGGCCTGGAATCCTAAGGGTAAGAAAACGTATGCAGGTGAAAAACAGGTGGACCTTTTCTGACACAGGTTAGCAAGGACCCAGACTGTCCCAGAGCTCCACCAAAGGTCCGAGAGGGGAATACCAGTCCTATTTGTTTTAACATCAGGTATAATTTAGACTGAATTCAATAGTCTTAACACCTTCCCCTGCTCTATTGCTAAAAATGCAATCTGTGGGGCAGGAAGGGAGGCTCTCCTTTCTGGAATCTAGAACCTTCTACTGAATGCAAACCTTGTCCAGTACGCAGGTCACATCCCTTGCTTGGCATGCTCTCCCCTCTCCTGTCTGCCATTTTTCCTTTCCCAAACATTGATAATAAACTCACCTCTTCCAGGAAGCTTTCAATGATTGATTTGCCAGGCTCAGAGCTCACAATACTTTAATGATTCTGTATACAACTTATATAATGGCATAGTCTGTATTGTTTATTTTTAGGTATTTCTGTCTCATTTGTAAATTAAGTTTGTTGTCTTGCTAGCTCTTAAACTCCCTCAGGATAGACTATGTTTCTATTTTTTCTTTTTGTTTCTTAAATAATGTGCATTGCTTTTCTTTTAATTAAAAGTGAAAACATACTCAATTGAGAAAAATTTAATAAAACTCTGGGAAATTACAGAAAAATCATCTCTGCCCACAGGGCTCTGCATAGTGGAGGCTAAGTAATTATATTGATTACAAAGAAGCTAATAGAACATTCCATTCTGTTGGGTTTAAAAATATCTGACATGCTCATAAGGATGTAGAATTAGGTGAGTGGCAGGGGGCAGGGACGGGTGTATCTGGCAGTTAAGCACAATCAGCAGAGAACAGAGCACCAGTCTGCAGCGAGATGATCTGGCCCCATCGCTTGCTTTGTAACCTTCAGTAAGCGATGCTTGGGCCTCAGGATTCTCAGTTATTAAATGGAGCTAATTACATCTGGTCAACCAACCTCATCTGGCTTCTGTGCTGATCCAGAGCCATACAATTTTTTAAAGTGATTCACAAACTTTTATAAAACATAAAATCTATCTGTTCATGCCGGTAATCACTAGAATACAACACATTCGCAGCTATCACCTGCATGTGTTCTAAGAATGAACTCCCCCCGTTGGCAGTCCATCGCTCCACCAGCGAGGCTCTGAAACTGGAGTTCGCTATTGGAGCTTTCTGGGCTGAAACGATGTGAGAGCCGCTGGCAGCCCTCAAATTCCCTGAGACTAGAGAGCCAGCACCAAGTGGAACCCCTGGCGAAGGCAGGTCTGGCTGCAGACGCTTTGCTTGGGTGGGAACGACAGGTTCCCCGGCTCTCAGAGACTAAATGAGACACGTTGGCTGGAATGCTAAGAACTAACACAAAAGAACTGAAGGGGACTTAGTGACTCATGCAGCCTCGGCCCACTTATCTGTGAGATGGTCATTCACAGCATGACTTGGATTTAATCAATGGGTGCTTTCCGGTATCTTCCCTTCTTTTTCAGCCGAAGCCCAAGTTGAAATGGGCTGTGGAGCGAGGGGGAAAAGAGCTGACCTTCCTTGGGGTCTCTGCCTCACTGTCACAGGCCTGTGAACGATTAGCCTGGCTAAACACCAACCTTGATGTTCAACCCCACTTCTACCCCAGAATAGTCCCTGCTGGGGACATGGCCTCCTGAGACTCTGGAAGAGAACGAAAGTACTCAGAAAACTCAGATTCCACATCCCAGCCTTGGTGAGTCAGGATATCCCACCCTTCACTCTCAGCCACCTGTGTGCTCCCTGCACTCGCCCTGTGTCCCTGGATGTCTACTCCACTGCATAAACTGGTGCTCTCAGTCAGCTTACTTCTGTACCTTCTGTGCTAAGTGTGCTTAGCGGCCTTTCCCAGCTTTGAAGACATATTACATCCAGAAAAGCCATTGCTGAGTGATGTTAGTGTTTAGTGAGCTGCGTGAAAGTGAAGGTGGGACCACTCTTTATTAGACTTTCGAAACTAGAGAGGGCAGGGCTATTCTCTCACGTCAATTGTGTCAATATGCTGCTGGGATTCTGGTTAGTTAAGGAAGGCATTAGTGTTTCCAAATCCCCTTAGGTGCTGAGGTCATAGGGTTTGATGAAGAAATCGCTAAGCTAGGTAGTGCTACCTGGGGAAAGGCAGGCAGAGCGGGGAAAGGGATCCAACTAACCTCCTTCCACTTCATTTCCTCCTGAAAGCTGACAACTATCTTAACATGCCTGCCTCCTTCCTTCCGAGCCGAGCATTCACCAGTGTCATCCAGCAACATGTCTGCGAATGGAAAACATCAACAGCCTTAGGCACATGGGGCAGCAAAGCCGGCCTCCCGACACCCCCGCTGCCTGTCGGCACAGCAGCGGGACAAACCAGGTGTCGGGGTGTGGGGGATGTAGGGGTGGCGAGGAGGGGAGGGGGCGCAATGAGAATGCAACCACAGAAACCAACGGTGGACCAACCAAGGAATCAGCGGGCTGACGATGTGCCTTGCCAAATGGAAGTGCGAGGGAGACTCAACCAAAAGAGCAACAGCAGCGTCATGGATAAGAAATCAAAGCGTCAGCCTCCGTATGCTTACAGAGAAAACCCAGACCATGTCCAATAATTACTGCGCCAGCCTGGAATCCAGCCCGCAGGCCGGAAGATCACAGACCAAGCCATGCCCCAAGTGGGCGCTGCTGCCATGGGGTTTGTATGCAGCGTTCAACTCGCAGGTCAGCCTCTTAAAATGGATCAAACAGAAGTCAGCATGGTGGGCGGGGGGAGCCAAGCTCATGGCTTGGAGCACTTGAGGTGCCGGAGCAAAGCATGACAGCAGTCTAACGGCTGGGCTCATGTTGGTAGCAGACGCACGCCTAGACACACACACACCCCGAGTGCACGCACGCCTGCTGCCTCCCCATTTGATCTGTTGAGCTGCTTATCTTGGGGCTCTGGCTTAGAGACCGGGTGCCGGCTGCAGGCCTGTCCTGCCCCAGCCCTGTGACCCACTCACCCAGGCTGGTTGACTCAGTGAGGTTCAGGCTGTGCTGGGAGAGGCCCATGGACTGCCTCGGGGAGGCCGAGAGGGACACCTGGGAGGGCGCTCGGCTGCAGCCGCTGCCTTGAGACTCTGACTTTAGCCGGTCATTCTCAGCTTTCAGCTTCTCTATTTCACTCTGCAAAGCGTAAAAGAGAAGCTCATTGACTGGGTGGAGAGAATGAGAGCAAGCCTTTTCTGGAGGAAGAGGTTTGGAAGTCCCCTGCAGGGATTCAGTGGGTAGCCCGGCCGAGGCAGAGTCAGTTACACCATCAGAGGGATTCACAGTGTTTGCTGCCTTTGCTGCATACACAGGCCTGTGTGGCAGGGCAGGAACCATCCCTTCAGAGAGCTGGCCTTTGAAAGGCCTCAGAAATGTTTCCCAAAGTCTGAGTGGTAAGTGAAAAGGAGTCGTATCTAAGTTTGAGCAATTCTAGGTTTGACACATTTGCTCTCCGGGATGGCGGGGTGTGTGTGTGTGTGTGTGTGTGTGTGTCCCATTTAGAAGAACCCGCAGAGATCTTTCATTCTATGAATATTTATGAAGAACCTATTATGTGCTAAGCATTCCCAGAGAAAGGGATGCAAAAAAGAATAGCTCAGAAGACCCAAATACCTTCAACCTGCGGCAGAAGATGAGAAGGTTGTAAGAATAGACCTACAGGACCTGGAATGGCTTTGCAGAGGAAGAGGCCTCAGGCTGAGCCTTAAGGGAAGGGTCCATGTGATTGTGCAGAAAGATATCCCGGTGGAGGGACACCATAAGACAGAACTTCCTGGCATGCAAAGGGGGCAGAGACTGGCTCCCTCTGGCTGGTGAGAAGAGTCTGGAGAGTAGAGTTGGTGATGGTGAGTGGGGGTTTGAGAGTGACAAGATGCTGTAGAAGGCCTTGAAGGCCAGGTGAAGGAGACTGCGACTCACCCAGGAGGCAACAGTAGAGCCACTGGACGTCTCACACGAAGGAGGGATAGGGTTCTCTGATATTTTTTAGCAATATGTGGGAGGGACTGTCTGTAAAGAGAAAGGGACTAGGAGAGCAGAGGGCTGCCACCAGATGCTGATGTGGCCTTGGGGTGTGGCAGGAAGCAGGCACCTGCCAATCCTTCCCAGATAGCCTTGGGCTCCGTCAGTGCTCCTGGGTGCTCACCTGCATCCTGTTCATGGCCTCCCGGAGCTGGTCGAGCTGGTGTGCAGAGCTGAGGGCTTCAAGGCGGATGTCCGTCAGTTTCATCTCCTTGTCTCTCAGCTCATTCCGGAGCTGCATGACCGTCTCCGCCTCACTATCCATGCACTCCGAAATGCTAGGGAAAGAAGGATGTTACTGACAAAGGTGCCCTGAGTTCACCTCCTTCCTGGCCTCCACTGACCCCTGGCCTATGCCCGTAACCAGCGGCCCCATGCTTCCTGGAGATGACAATACCAAAAACCCCTGAAATTCACAGATTTTATGGCTTCTCTACTTTCTTATCTTTGTGGAGCTCTGGCAGTCAGAACGGTTTTGTGTGTTTCTTTTAGCAAAATTCCAATAATCTAAGGATAAACAGAGCCAGCAAAGGGGAGTAGTAACCTTGTGAGTTTGACTCCCCACCCCTGCCAATATGTACACAGCTGGGCCCCTATAATGACACCACATGGCCCTTGAGATCTAAACCCACTCAGAGAAACGAGGTCAACTGTCTGTTTTAAAGATTAGATACTCCAGGGTCAGGCAGCTGACGGGTGATTTTTATTTGCCATAAAAAGGAAGAAACCGAAAGATACCGGTGGATGGAGTTAGTTCTTTTAGCCACTAAAACCCACCCCCCTATGTGTCTAGAGAGCAACATTCTTCCATTCCCCTGCCCCCAATGCTGCTTAACAAGCTCCTGGCAAGGAAGAGCAGCATCTCAGGTGGTTAGAGAGCAGAGAGGACCATGTGACATGGAAGTCAAAGCTGTATCTGAAACGTATGCAGCAGTGTGGCTGTCTTTCCCAGATACACCCCCTTCAAGGGAGGTGGGACCCTGTGGAGTCCCTCTTTCTTAAAAGGTGGTCCTTCTAGGCTGGGCTCCTTATTTGATTTAGTTAAGTTTGCTCTTCAGATACCTGGCAAGTCATCCCAGAGTGGAAGATCATACAAGTCAAAAGGAATTGTAATGCTAGAAAAGATGGTTCTATTAAAAACAAGCTCTGTTGATTTCAAAGATCAGAGGGTTTGGAGTGAGGGGTGATCCAGAATAGAAAGCTTTGACTTTTTTGGACAGAAGAAGAAAACAAAACAAAACAAAAAACCCAACAAAACCAAACAACCCCAAGTTCATACAGTTACAAAGCTGAAGCTGATTATCTCTGAAAAGCATGGGGAACATGTGGTCTCTGCAGAAACAATCCCGCAGCCCGTCCATAAAACACAGGGAAGGGATCTGGGGCCAAGCAAAACCTGACCTGTAAGAGTGGTTGAGGGTGTGGAAATGCTAATTGCCAAAGAAAAACCATTTATAATCGTTAAAGAGATATAACTGTACTTCGGGGGCAGAAAGGCTAGAAGGAAAATTAACACCTGAACAGCCAAATCTTTTTGTTACTGGTTTCTTGGCCTGCCCCTGAACTATTTACAAAGAGAATAAAACCACCTCCCATTTTTAAGCGTTGTCAGCAGCCAAGGAAACTTCTCCGCTTCTAAATCTACTGAAACCTCCAAAGAACTCCTGAAAATGTTATAATTATTCCCTACGAGAGACTCAAGGCCAACAGATTTGGGACTAATGGGGCTAGAGAGACAAAAATATCTTTAGAATTCAGACCATCGCTTCCCACCTAAGCTCTGTGCTGTGAATAGCTGGGGTTTGTAAATAAGACTTAACTATAGTCATGCTTCTTTTTCTTCTTTTTTTTTGGTTTGGGAGTTTTGCAGGGGGAACTATAGTTTTCGATGCAAATGGAGAATAAAGTCTGAACTCGACTCCACTGCGACACTGGTCTCAGCCAGACCATGCACAGATCTCGAAGGCTCCCATTCACGGCAGAGAGCAGTCGGCCTTGGTTCACGCTGGGTCCGTCTGGTCCGCCTGTACCCGCAGCCAGGCACTCTGCCCCAGTCTCCTCCACATGGTCTGTACCCTTTCCCTAGAAAGCTGTCCCAGCAAGAGGCACAGTCATTCCTCAGCACCCACCCGACTCTGGAATATAGAGCATGGGTAACTGCGAAGCTCGGACACCGATTCTGCAAAGGGCAGCAAACCAAAGTGAAGGTCTGCACAAGGCCCTCCCATGCTCCTTCCACAAGGGGCTGGTTCTCAGAAACACACACTGCAAGGCCACAGGGAGCGATGGCCTGCAACACAGAGATGATGGTGAAAACAAGGTCTGCAGCAGCTCCGAGAGTGGCCCCTGTCCCTACTGCTCGAGGCGGAGCCCTGCCGCCTCGGTTCCTTCTCACACTAGCACTGTGGGGTCACTCCCGGCACTCAGCAGGCACTCAGTACAAGTTTGTTCACTTCAGGAACCACTTCCTGAAGCTACCAGATGTATATCGTTTCCACACGTTGTTCCAGCACATTCCCGCTGTTGTCCGGAAGGCAGGCTGTTGGCAGGCCTAATTTTAAATGCCTCGAGTGTGGGAAACTGCCTTCCCACAGCACCATTCCTGTCGCCCACGGGGTAGGGCCTTTGCTGAGTGCCGACTCCTCCGCGTTTGGTTTCTTCTTTGAACCCCCTCTCATGTCTAGATTTGCACATTCTTACAAACCCTTCAAGGTTGGAGAAAGCATTTGCTTTCTGCCCAGCCTTTGGAAAAGTAAACAAAACAAACAAACCTCTCCTTGTGCATGGATGCTGTGGGGTGTCCGAAAGCGCCGGAGAGCCGAGTCTGCCCCACCCAAGCCCCGTGGGAAAGTGGTTTGGAGCGAGAGTTCTCCAGATGGTCTGGGGGCCCTGGATGGCCAAGGGCATCATTGCCACTCACCTTCATCTTTTTTTTTAATTTTTTTAAAAATATATTTTATTGATTTTTTACAGAGAGGAAGGGAGAGAGAGATAGAGAGTTAGAAACATCAATGGGAGAGAAACATCGATCAGCCGCCTCCTGCACACCCCCCACTGGGGATGTGCCCGCAACCCAGGTACATGCCCTTGACCGGAATCGAACCCGGACCCTTCAGTCCGTAGGCCGACGCTCTATCCACTGAGCCAAACCGGTTTTGGCTCGCCTTCATCTTATTGGCCGCCCAGCAGCACTGGACCCAGTTAGTGCTCCTGCTTCCAAACAGCTTCTTCTCTCTGCTCCTGGGTTTCCTCCCACCTCACTGGCTGCTCTACTTTCTCTTCTTCAAATGTCAGTGACCCAGAGCTCAGTCCTGGTCCTGCTCTTCTCCATCTCCATTCAACCCCTTGGAGAATCCCTCCAGTTTCCCAGCTTTCAACACCAGCGATGAGCCTACATCTCCCGAGTCTATACCTCCACGAACTCTCGGCTGGTTGACATCTCCAAGTGACTGTCTCCTGGGCATCTCAAACATCTCCATGTGCTTCCAACTCCTCTTTCAGAACATATCCTAAATCCACCCAGGACTCCCACTAGCATCAGTCACTCATTCATTCCACATAATATTTGAATGTCTGCAAAACCAACCATGGACCTTAGCCTGTAGATTTTTGGGTGGTGGTGGAGGGATGGTGGGGGACAAAGCAAGATAACCAAGAAGAATGTACATAACAGGTTGGTGATATTTGCAATGGTAATAAATGAAATGGGAGCGGGGAGAGGGGATGGCGGCGGGGGTGTTGTTTTTTGCAAGGTGCATAGGCAAGGCCTTATGATAACACTGAGCAGACACCTGCAGGAAAGGAGTCTCTTGGGGAAAAGTGCACCAGCAGAGGGCACAGGAAGGGCACAGGCTAGCGGTGAGGAGGGTGACTGGAGAGTTCACAGGAGAGGAAGGGACGAGGGGGAGTGCACTCTCAGCCTCTTATGTGATCTCCCTTCCTCCACTCTTGCCCCCTATATATTCCTTATTCACAAAGCAGAGACTGATCTTTGCAAAACATTATTTCAGATCTCACGTTCTTGCTTAAAACTCTCCAACATCTACCCGTCATATGAAATCAGATGCAAACTTCAAAGCCTCACATGCAAGAGGCCCCACCTACCTCTGTGGCCTTGGTTCCCTGCCCATCATGCGGCAGCCACGCTCGCCATCCCCCTGTTTTTCAGACCCCCAGGCCTGTTTCCACCATAGGCTCCTTGTGCTACTTATTTCTCAGGTCAGGAAGGCTGCCCTGCCCGTTCCCTCTCCCTCCCGGCACACCAGTTTCTCATCCTCCTTTGCAGGTGGCTGACCCCGAGCCCTGTCCAGTGGACTGTGGGATGAGGTGACATGTGTCTCTTCCAGACATGGCCCATAAAACCCTCCTGCACGCTCTCCCCCCTCCCCCGCACAGCTGGCAGGACACAGCACCCAGCCGAGGACTCCGGCCCCATGGGACAGCCGGCCCCAAGTGGAAGAGACCCGGTGCCTGCATTGCCTCGGCAGGCCACCTGCTGACTACGAACATCTGCACTGAGCTTGGAGGGAACCAGAGACAAACATTCAGATGTCCCCTCTGAGCTTTGGGACTGAGTCTGTTACAGCAGCTCGTGTTCCTGACCAGATCGCACCAGCGGTTGCTCCTGCCATGCAGGTCTCAGCTGAAGTGCCATCTCTGCAGAGGCCCTCTCCTGACCACGCTGTAATGATGCTCTGTATCCCAACACACTGTTTTCATCCCAGCATTAACCCTCAGCACTGTCTGATTTTCCTAATTTGCTCAGAGTGATGTGTTGAATGTCTATCTCTCCCACTGGTACATGGATCCACCAGAGCAGGAATGTACCTGTCCTGTACATGGTTGTAACCGGAGCCAGGAAAAGTGCCAGGCACAGACAGAAGCTCGGAAGTGAAGTGTTCTGTGTCCTGTCCCTACTACCCCCTGATCCCCAGGGGTGGGAATCTGGTTAACATCCGCCTTGGTCTCTGTGGAACATCTGGAGTAGTGCCCTGCTCACATAGGTTGTTCTATACAAAGTTTAACAGAAAGAAAGCAGAGGTGAGGAGCTCCTTTCCTTTCTGCTCCGGAATGATGGCATATGTGGCAGCCACAGACAAATGGTCCTTTACCTCTTAGGCACTCAGCAGGTCAGAAAGGACTGGCATTCTCAACCACTGGTTTCATTCTTCGCACAGGAGCACAGAGCCCTGGATGGTGGGGGTGGGGGGTGCTAGAGTCCAGACCTCAGTGCTCCTCCCACTCCCCCTGCTCAGGTTTACCCTCGCTCATAACAGAAATGCATGTGTCTGCAGCCACCCTCGGACCAGGTGCTCCCCCAGGGACAGGGCTACTAATCTACTTAAGTAAGATGAAGGCCTCTGAAGGGCCCTGCTTCACTGGTGGGCGGGCCCATGCGGAGTTTCCTCCTCCACATGGTCTGTGCAGCTGGCGAGCTACAAAGCCTGGCCCATCCTTTTGCCCACATTTCCTGCACCCACCGGGGAAGCTGGCCTTGGGACCCTTGTGTAGTTGCTGTCTTCAGGGGGCTGGCTGGGTGAGGGGCCTCAGGGACGGCTCCACAAACCTGGCCTCCTCAGGTTGGAGGATGGAACAGGAAGAAGGAAGCCCTTCACGCACGGTGTCTGACTTGGCCCCCACAAGAATCCAGTGAGGTAGATGTAACGAATCTCGTTTTCGTCAATGAAGAATCTAAGGTGTCTCACTCCAGCTCAGTGGCCATTCGAACCCAGGTTCAGTGGCTCTCTTCTCGTAGGCACTGTCTCATTTGTGGACAACTGTCTTTGCAGACGACCTGGGCTTCATTCAATTCTCTCTCTCCTAACCGGGTCTCTAACAAAAGTCAGCCACCAGGGGCAAGGGCATCTTCCTCACTGCTGCAGGAAGCCAGCTGAGCCACCTTCTAAGGGGATACCTCGGTCTCCCACCTGGCTCTGTCCCATGCCATTCCTGACCTGTTCTTGCCCTTAGCATCTGGGCTTATGCTTTTAGATGGGGCACAGGATGTTTTTAGATGGACTATGACCAGTGGGTGCTCAGTGGAAATCATGGGAGACTGGCTGGGCGAGAGCAGCTGACTGGTCCCTTCTATGTAACCAGTCACCAAGTGGAGCAGTGCAAAACCAAGGCCGAGCGAGCAAACACGTGTCTCACTTCACAGAACCAGCTGTGTTCCCAAAGAGCTCTGAACAAATGCACTCATTTTAAACTCACGAGGGGAGTTCAGGGTGATGAGTCATTTTACAAAATACAGATCCTTTGGTAAAGAGAACTGCCACTGAACCTCTCCATTTTTTTAAACTTCCAATTTCTGAGTGCTGACCTCTGAGAGTCAACACCAAATTATGATCAAAGAAGAAAAGGGTAGCCCTAACTGGTTTGGCTCAGTGGATAGAGCGTCGGCCTGGGGACTGAAAGGTCCCAGGTTCGATTCCAGTCAAGGGCATGTATCTTGGTTGCGGGTACATCCCCAGTGGGGGGTGTGCAGGAAGCAGCTGGCTGATGTTTCTCTCTCATCGATGTTTCTAACTCTCTATCCCTCTCCCTTCCTCGCTGTAAAAATCAATAAAATATATTTTTTAAAAAAAAGAAGAAAAGGGTAATCACGCTAAGCCTTGTCACCCTAAAGAACCAGAATTTCAGCTAACACTGCCAATGCTTATAACACCATCTCCTCATCACAGCAAGATGGTTGTAGCTCTTTTATATCCACTTATCTTATTCAATCCTTAGGGTGAGTAGACAACTATTACCCCAATTTGATAAATAAATGGAAACAAAATGAGGTTAAGCAACTCGCCCAAGGCCAACCTACTAATTACCCACAGTGATGTGGCCACCAGAACAAAAACCTGTTTGTTTTCTCTTTCAGCCTCTCCAGTCTCAAATCACTGAAGGGACATGCCTAGTCCTATGAAGGCAAGACATCAAGGATCCCAAGGAGCAGATGTATCACAGCAAGTCTGCCAGTCACTCCTATTTGAGAAGGTTCCTAAGGGCCAAAGACATCGTCTGACTCCGACAGACTGACTTACAGGGAGTTGGAGTGGGAGGTCCTGAGCAGTGGCGTGGAACCCGAGGAGCCGTTGTGCGGTAACTTTGGTGAGGAAGGCAAAGAAGAGTCCGTCATCTCCTCGATGTCTGAATGAGAGGACGCCGACTTGGGGGACTTCTTCTTCCCGAACGCTTGCTTGAAGGAGCTGCGTAACTGAATAGACAAGACCGTCAGCCTGGCAGGGGCCGCGGCCAACACTCAGGCCTATGCAAAACGGGGACATGCAGACCAAAGAGCAATTAATTCTCCCACGTTTTCCTCCCACTATGAAAAAGGTTCCCAACAGCTCTCTCCAATCAGTGCATTAGGGGAAGAAGAGTTATCTGGTGTGGACAGCTCGAAGGACTGGCCCTGTGGGTAACATTCCATGCCTACTCTCAGGTCAAGACTAGATGCCAACAGCAAGACAGAGCCTGGCTCAGCAGGTGATGTCGGGAGGATGAGGTTACACAGCAACGAAGCAGGATGCTCAGACACGGTGACGGATGCGGATGAGGTTAGTCATATCAATGGATGGGTTAGCTTGGTATCTGATATTAACAGTCTTGCTTACCTCATTGACCTGCCAGAGAAAATGCAAGCAAAAAATGGGGAAGGGGAAGGAAAAAAGACAATTTTTAACAGAGAAAGCCAGTGACAGGGAAAGCTTTGGACTTTTCAGACACGACATGGCTAATTATAAACACCACACACAGAGGAGGTTTCCAGTAAGATCACAAATCTTTCAAAGCATAAGGGGCACCTTCCTCCATTATGCAAGGAAAAGGATAGCGAGTCTGGAAGTCCCTACAATCCGAGTTCTTCCAGCTTCTCTGTCTGGTTGAAATGACTGCCCCCACCTTCTTGTGCTGATCATCGTTTTGTCTCTCATCAGTCATCTCTCTAACGCCATAATTTTTCTGGGGGGGCATGTCTTTTCTTTTCCCTCAGCAACAAAGGGTAGTTGTACTACTGCACTGGTCCCAACATGGCTGTATATCTCTCTGATATATGTACTTAGGAGCTCCTGCTGTCCTTATATATACATGAGATAACATAATAGCAGGGAATTAGACATCCCACTGTGTTACTAAAAATGGATATTTTAACCATATTGGAAAAAAGAAGCTGGTATATCACAAATTCTCCAAACCATGAGGTGGATCTGAGAATTCTAATGGGAACATAAGGAATTAAAGTGCAATGTTTTCTCTGAGAGCCATGGTAAGCATGTTAATTTTCTAGGCCCCAAAATAAGATCTTTTAAAAAGTAATCTCCTTTTCAGAAAGTCCCCTTTCCTTCTGAAAACATAGTCTGGGGGCTTTCTTGGCCATTGAGAAATTCAGAAATGGGCCATTCTGAAACAATTAATGGAATTTTTCTTCCATTAATGTTTCATTTATAACAAACCATATGTCCAGCTTGGGGGTGAATCAACATCCCATTCCCCTCTTATTCTTACTTCTGGTCATATTTCCAGAGAGTAGTTATGGAAGCAGAAGGATTTGGCACATAAGCCATCAACCTAAGCCTTTGCCTCTACTTCTGGTGAAATGCCAGGTGGAAGAGGAGATTACAAAATTTACACAGAGGTAAGCTCGGGGATTATCTGAGGATGCAAATTATCCATCCTCCTCAATGGCAAGGATAACCAAGAGTAATAACTTTTAAAGCAAAATAAGTAAGTTTTATTTCTTAAACTGAAGAAAACAAGTAGTCACGATTTTTCATAGAAAAGAATCCTCCCTCACCACTTTGATAATCAAATCAGACCATATTTCTCAATAGCATATTGGAAACAGCAACATGAACTACTTCTATTTGTTTAACTCATAACAAATGAGTTGACCAAAAGCCATTAGTAACTTAAAAAAAAATTCCATCAGAATGATGAGAGGGTCACACTAAACCAGCCTTTTAGCTTGGAGCACAAGTCATCAGTAACCAAAGTGATTATTAACTCTTTAACTATTCTATTCCTAGACCTTGCCAACCATCCAAGATGACACAAAATGAGTGAGAAGTGTATGGAGTGAATGAGGACACCAAAGCTACTGTGAAAACACGATGATGCCAGCATGGACAGATGGGGCCCTCTGAGTACTGGCCAATGTCAGGTCAACTTGGGCTGAAGACAGGAACTCTGCTGCCTCAACAGCAGAACTAAAGACTGAGTTGGGAGAGCAGAGTGGGACTTCCCCAGGAGAATGGGAGAAACTGTTCAAGATGCCTCTATACAGACAGTCAAGGAGCTCATTGGGATCGTGGAAACACGGAGAATCACTGCATGGGGACCCTTCTATTATACTTGACATTTTGAGGTATAAACCCCAAGATCAGAACGGTTCACTTACTGCTAACATCACTGTTATGCAACTTTCACTTACAGGCCATGGTCAAAATTTCTCAAAGAGAAGGGTGGTTTAAGGCTACCATGGGCGATTGTGTAAATAAATAGATAAGGATTATGATTAACAATGGATAATTAGTGGTAACACTCCAAAAAATACATTGGAACTAAGAAACCACTTAAGAGTAAATTTGCTCTAGTACCTGCAGGTTTCTGGCCAACACGTGATGAGGAAGAAATGACACATATGAAATGAGAGGTGAGTACTTCACATAAAGTCTCATGAACACAGTAAGACTACAAGGTGGTGGTGATTTCGTAAATCCTAGTGTTTGGCTGAGCACAACATTGATTTTAGTAGAAACCTATCCACAAACCACTCCTTCGGATCTACTCCCAAAGGTCGACGTTCTGAAGTTAAGAGCAAGCCTGGGTTGAGACTGGCTCTGATAGTCAGTGCATGAGAGTCTTTGGATGTACACTCACCCAATTCTTTCTCTTCTTTTTCTTTGAATCGCTTTCTATGTTGCTGCCCACGCTGGAGTGGCTGGTGGCGCTATTGATGCTGGACACGCTGTCGGAGGAGTGCTGCCTGCGGATGCGGAGGTCTGCAGACTGGGAGGTACCATTTCCTGCAGACCCAAGGTGGGATATCAGCAGCTGCTGCCTCGAGCCCATTCCATTGTCCCAGGGAATAACCTCACACCAAAATCCACACACCTGAGGACCACTAGGTGATTCTGTTAGACATCACCTTCTTTTCTTCATGGATAGTATTAAGGCCCTTGAGCAGGTAGGTGCTATACCGTTTGGTCAATTGAATGGGGGCATACTCTCTCTCCACTTTACATAAATATGGGGAGGCTCAGAGAGAATCCCCCCAACACCAGCTTTATTAAGCTTTAGACAGGCATAGAAATGAGTTTGTGAATTGCAGTGGTAGTCACCTATGTTTTTAGCGCTCCTCTGCTCACTGCACTAGCCTCCTTTCCTCTCAGGGATGTTCCATACGCTATTCCCTCTTCCTGGAATGCTCTTTTCCCTCCACTCTGCCTGGCCAGCTCCTCCTAACCTTCCCATATCAACTCTATCATCAAGTTCTCAGGAAGCCTGATGTCTGAAACACCAGTGGTACCAGGAATACCATTGCCTGAAGTGTCAGTGATTCCAAAATTAAGTCCGCAGACAGTTTTCCTCATGAGCACAGAACCACACCTGCAGCCTGGTTTTTAAGAGCACCGTTTCAGTCAGACAGACGGGTCTAGTCCCACTTCTGCTTCTAACTACTCCAGGATCACCTCTCGCCTCTGAAACAGTGTTCCCATCAGCACCATATGGAGAGGACCAGGGTAGCACTCATATGGGTTGTGGAAAAAAAATGAGATCATTCATTACATAACTGAAGCACTGAGCGCAACGCTCAGAACACAGTGAGTGGTCCATAAATGTTCGCCTTCGCTATGACTTCTCCTATTACTGTTAATGCCATTACTGCAGGAGGGAACTCATCCTCACGTCCACATTGCCCTCCAACTAGGAGACACACAGACAAAGCAATTCACTCAGAAATATTTTCCTGGACAAACATGAGATGAACTCATGTCAGGTTGCCCCACATCAGTATGGAAACATCAAAGCATTAGTGAAGATAAGGGCTATGAAATATTGTGACACTTTGCCAAAAGAAATACATTTTCTCCCATTTTTGAGATACATCAGAGAAGAGGATGAGATGGAACCAGCTACCTCCCCAGAGGGCAAAAGTCACCTGATGAAGTATTTGCCTCCCAGGACCTGTCCACGGACAGGTCACCCAGCCCCGGGTAGAGAGCTGCATCACTCACTGTTAGGGGAGGGCTCCTAGGGGCAGGCAGGCAGTGTTTCTGTACCTACCTTTGCAGTTGAGCTCCGGAGTGTTAATTACTCCATTAATGGCAGCCTGGGCAGCTGCATTCTGTTTCTTTAGCAACTCAATGGTTTTTCTTAACTCATTCAGTTCAGAATCCTGAGGAGCAGAGAAAAAAATACTGGTTGTTCTAAGATCATTCTCTGTAGCCTTAGCTGGTTTGGCTCAGTGGATAGAACATCGGCCTGCAGACTGAAGGTTCCCAGGTTTGATTCTGGTCAAGGGCACATGCCTGGGTTGCGGGCTCGATCCCCAGTGTAGGTTATGAAAGAGGCAGCCAATTGATAATTCTCTCTCTTCATTGATGTTTCTCTCTCTTTCTTCCCTCCCTTCCGCTCTGAAATCAATAAAAAATATATTAAAAAATCATTCACTGTATAGAGTTCAACTGAAGTGCAAGTTTCAACAGAGGATGATAGGGAATACAGGAGTTCTAAAAAAACCTTTGTCTCAAACAGGAGGTTGGGCCAGTTTTCAGCATAGGTATCTGAGCCAAGAAACCAGCAGGAATAGGACCATGACAATCTGTCCCTGATACATGTACCACCTCTCCATCTAGGTCGTATTTTCACTCAACATGACTACTCTTTAACAACTAAAGAAGTACACTAAAATCTATACAATTATCCGGAATGAAAGAGAATACTATTTTTAGGTGTGCTGTTCACTCCAAGCAGGGAGGGGGGAAAGCATCCTTTCTGCTTTACCTTCTGCTCAGCCGTCATGGTCAAACTCTGGAGCCTGATTGTCATGTTTCCAAGACTCTGTTCAAAGGCTGCCACGAGGTGAGCCTGGAGGGAGAGACACAGCCCTGTTACATTACCTTTTAAGGTGAGCGTGCCTAAGCAGTGCCAGCCTTACAGACTGAAACCCTCAGAGGGCCACATGAGTTATCCCCTGCCCAATTCTTCAGCCTATTGAGCCCCACTGCCCAGTACCCTTTGGGATACAGTTATTCTAGCTTTTGTGTCTCAAACGCCTCATGGTTCTTCCCACCTCAGGGCCTTTATCCATGCTTTGCCCACTGCCTGGGATGCTCTAGCCCCACTGCCTCCTGTCTAACTAAGTTTTGCATATCCTTCTCAAGAGATCTCAGCTCACGCTGTCATGACACCCCCGATGGGGTTGGTTCCCTCAGACTCAATCTCAAAGGCACAATGGACTGTCAAAAATCACAGTCAAAAATACACATGCTCTTGTGACTGCTGCTTCACGTCTCTACACAGCAGGACAACCTTCTGTTCATCAAACACCAAGCTCACCGCAGAGGCTCACACTGAGCATGTTTGCAGAACGAATGGACAAAGTGGTTGGCATATTTTGCCCGTTATAATCTTCGTTAATTAAAAGCCACAGAAAGGCCCATCTGCTACCTCCTTAGTTAGAGAGCCCTTCCCCTGCTCCCCCAGGGAATTATGCCCTTCTCCTGAGCTCCCCTGCACTCTTATATACCTCAATTAGAGGAATATAATGGCATCAGTTGCATCATTATTTTCTATATTACTAAGACAGTCTTAAAAATACTACCAATTATAATTAAAATATGCATCCAATTTTCAAAGATGTTAAAATGTTTTAAAAAAAGTGTATGTTAGAATTGAGAAATGTGATGTTTTCCTATCTTCCCCCTTCTCCGCAACCCTCTTCAAGGGGAAGATGTGACTTTGTGTTCCAACACCAAACCTTCTTCCTTTTTCCACAGAGCAGCAGGTGATACATTGACTGGCTGACTGAGGATCCTGATAATATCGTTAAAACAAAGAATAAAGAATGGACAAGTCATGTAATTCTATTGGCCTCAGTTTATTCATCCATAAAATGGGAGCTATATCTTCTTCCCAGCCTTATTATGAGCATTAAATGAAACAATGTAAGTAAAAATGGTCTATAAACTATTAAGGAAGTGTGACACATAGAAATAAATGGACACTGGGGGTGGGGGGTGAGAAAGGAAGAGGCCTGGGAATGAGAAAATGCCAAAAATTGCTATCAGAACATAGGAATAGGGAGATCAAGAAAGGGTCCTCGGAGAGGGGTGGGTGGACACACAGAGGGTTACAGAAGGAATGAGAAGGATACTTGAGAGTCTTGGGAGAAGTTAAGACTTGATCAGTTGGAAAATTCTAGAAGAAAAGATGGGCGATGCACACAGTGAAGAATAAGAGCTGGATACAGCTTTGTGGGGGAGGAGTCATTGCCCTGGGCTGGGAAGAGGGCCTGTGGACACTGCAATTTAAGGAGGAGAGATTTGAGGAGTGAGTCAGAGGCCTCTATCACCAGACCTCATCAAGCGAAAACCATGGTGGGAGATAAGATCGTCTCTAAGATCACTGCTGAATCTTTTTTCCAACAGCCATAGGGTCTGGCAGGGAGCAGGGCTATTGGTAGTAGAAATGCTAAGTGGACTAGCCAGTTTCTTTCTGATTATATGCTCTCTTTCTTAAAAACCAAGAAAATGCCTTTGCATTTTAAAATAAAGAGATGTACTTTAGTTTGCCCTGGAGAATGTGGCAAAACCAAAGCCAATTTAATTCAAGACAGTCACACAGTAGATGAAGGAAGCTGTCCAGGACATGGACGTACTAGTAAAAAGAAAATGAGTGTTATCCATGCATTTCAAAAGAATGTCAAGATCACATTTAAATGACTGGATTTCCATTTATTTCAAAACTTTGTTTGATTGCCACCCATGATTCTATTCATGGGCATTTATATCTTCTATCCAATAAAAACCAAAACCTGACCCCATGAAGACTGCCAGAGAGAAAGTGTTTCTGCAAAGCTCAGGAAGAAACCGCATTTGCTCTGAGGAACCAGAGGACTGTTTTGCTGGGGAACGGAAGGACCGACTTTGTGTCATGAACGCAACTATGAAAATACGGGCTGAGGTTGTTGAGAGCCTGGTTCAGGCCTTCTCATCCAGCACCGTCTCACATTCCCAGGAAAACAAACACAAGTGATATAAAAATACCCGAGAAGGTGGCTCTGAGTAGTTTGTCCCAGAAAAACAAACACAGTTTGGCCTGTGGGAGAGATGGCAGACAATAAAACACCCTGGTGGTGTGTGGTAAGGCTAAATATTTACTTTAAAACAATACTGGATTCACTGGCCTTGCAAGGAGCAACACACACTTTTAGAATAATAGTAATGTCAGGGCTCTCACGCTGACTCCTCTGAAACAGAGAGCAGGGTCCCAGTGGCCCAAAGCAAGGTCCCGTGGAGCATGAGGTCATTGGAAGAGTGAACCCAAGTTCATTATAAGTAAACTAGAGGCCTGGTGCACGAATTTGTGCACAGGTGGGGTCCAGCCAGCCCCACCCCCGATTGAACTCCCAGTTGAGGGGACAATTTGCATATTACCCTTTTATTATATAGGATTACTATCTTTTGATGATTAAGGGTCAGTAATTGACAGCTGTAATTCTTACCTAAGGGAGCAGTTCTGAACTTAGGAGGGGAGCTGCTATTAAATCTCACATATTTGGATTATACCAGGAGATCCTGGCTTACTGGGTCAGAGGTCGGTTCTGGATTCAAATGGTGACCCACATAAAGAGTCCACCCTCAGAAAAAGACCTCTGCTGTTTTTCTGAATAGGATCTAAGCCTCAAAACCCAGATCTCACATCAATTTCTGAAGATCTTTTGAAAGCATTACTCATGGTGGATGATGTAAAAAAGATAAAGGATTACAAAGCACACAATGGCCTGGTATGTTAGGGTTTTGAAAGAAAATTGAAGATTTCTAGAAATGTAAGAGAGCTAAAAAAAAAAAAAAAAAGAGCATAAGTGACCACAATCACCAAATACTGAGCTTGTAATCAAGGCCCAGCACTGTGTGAGGCACCACGTGCAGACTTTAAAGAGAAATAGTCCTTGAGCAGCCTCAGGCTCGAGCCAGGAATTACCTGGGCTAAAACTCCAGCTAAATATTAATTCCGGGTACTGACTCAGCTTCTTGGTCCAAGGAAGACAACCTTTTGAAACTACTTTTTACTTAACGGCATGCCATGGGGTCGTGCAGGTTGCTTTCTGACCGGCGCGTACACATGTATTTGTGGTCTCAGGCTGGGCTGTGCATTCCTGGGTAGGAAGCCTGGCCCCAGCGGCATCACAGTACCTTCCAAACCTCAGGCTCTGCCTTCGGAGCTTCAGCCCTGGAGCAGGAGTCCTGTACAGACTGGTCTGATGGGGTAGGAGATCTCTGTGTCTACTCTAACTCCCATAATTCTATAACCCCAAACAGGGAAGTTTTCTAGGAGCAAACCTGACCACCTCACAGCTCTGCTTAGAACTCACTGAGAAGGCTCCACTAACAGCTGAGAGCCTTTGTGATGTGCCCTGACCATTGCCTTTCATTGATGCCTCCTTTCTTCCCTCCTTTTCCTCCCCTCCACCTGCCTCTTCCCTATCCAAGCCATAGATTCTAATTACACAAAACAACTTATATAATCTCCAAATGCACCAAGCTCTTTCACCTTGGGCTTTTGCACAAATTATTCTTTCAGCATAATGGTTAGTATGCTGTCCTCCCCATGCACCCTCCCCTATACAGTATCCATCAGATGTCACCTCCTCCAGGAAGCCTTCCTGGATCTCCTCCTACCTCACAGAGAATGCGTTATGTGCTTCTCCCACATATTCCCACAACCTTTTCTCTTTATCTCAATCATAACACTTATCATGTCATAGCAAAAGTGTTTTGTCTTTCTGCTGTACCAGACAAAGAACACTGAGATGACAGTGACTTGCTTGCTTTGCTGTTGAACCCACAGTGCCTGGGGCATAGTTGGCACTTAAACAATTGCTGAATTGAATGCCGGTTGGCAGTGCCCCCTGAACAGGTAACTGTGTATGTTATAATTACAGAGCAGTCAGCTATTTACTTGGGAGCCTTAGATCCCTCCACCTTTTTTTCCTTAGATGAGAATTTTCAGAAAGAGGAAGGGAAGAAAATGAACATTTCTGACCACTTAATACATCCCAGGTACTGGTCACATGACAACCTTGAGAGGTATTATCATCACCCATCATTCAGAACAGCAAATCCAAGCGCAGAGGGTAAAGAATTTTCCCAAAGCACAGAGCCTGCAAGTGTCAGCGCCGACATTCACACCCATGATGCTAAAGCCTGCGTCCTATTTATTACACCACCCTGGTTCCATGGTGCTCCGGGGCAGGAGGCCTTGAGGTAATGCTCAGAAGAGGGCAGGGGCCTCCCCTCCCGATGGCTGTTGCCCTGGGTCTATACTCACATTTGCTGTCAGCTGGGTGGTCAAAGCTGAAACCTTTTCCTGGGAGGCATCCAGCTCCCGCCGCAGTTTGCGAATCTAAAGGGGACAAGGGACAGGGTTACTTGCTTTGGGAGTCCATTTCCAGGTTGAGCTGGGTAAGAGAATTGATGGCAGTGAAAGTGGGAATCCAACCAGCAAACTGTTCCTTACCTCTGACTGGCATTTTTCTTCTGGCTGTAAAGAAAACACAGGGAGATTAGAGAATCAAATCTAATCGGAGGAACAAAGAGCTGCGCAGTCCAGCCTGCGGGGACCACATTTGGATGAGCCCAACAGTCTGGAAGATTTATTCGTTTCTTTCCTGGGGTATTTTTCTGGCTAGACTGGTTCGATCAATTTGACTATCTGAAAAGGCCAAAAACAAACGGCATATTATTTTAAGAAATTAGGATGAACTGGAACACCCCCATTGTTGTTGTGAGGAGCCCCTGTCCCCATGTGGAGACAGTGACAGGGTCGGGGGCTCAGGACAGGGTGTGGTGAGAAGGGGATGAGCCAGGGCAGGGTTTGCCAGATTTAACAAATAAAATATCGGACAACCAGTTAAATTCTATTACTATTATTATTGTTAATTATTATTATTTTTAGTTTAAGTATGCCTCATGTCATCTTGGGACATACTTATACTAAAAAATTATTTGTTGTTCACCTGCATTTCAAATTTAACTGGGTGCTCTGTATTTTACCTGGCAAACCCCACCTGGGAGTAGGAAGGCCTGCACATAAGTTAACTCTGCCCCATTTCATCCTCCCTCTCATCTCCCCAGGGCACTGCAGACAGGAAGACGCCTAGACTTAAGGGAGGCCAGGAGCCCCTGCCAGCCAGCCTGTGGACATCCCAGATTATAAGGATAAATGTGACCTTTACCTTCCTGCTGCCCCACCTCGAGTTCCCCAGTTACCTATGACCCTGAGGAGTAAAGGTGAAGCCTGCAGGTCCTCTTACTGGCAGAACCTTCCATGCTGGGCCCCGTGTCTGATGTGACACGGCTGTGCCAGTGGGAGAACAAAACAACCTCCCTCCTCCCGCCGGGGGACCCCGCTGCAGGTGGAACCTTTCTTTCCCTCTCCCTGGACTCCCAAGGGGCTCACAAAAGAAGCTCCCCTACCCCTTCCTGCCCTTCTCACCACCCCCACTCACACGTCTCCAGGGGGAAGCAGGGACTTGGAAGCCAGGCAGGCGAGTGAAAATCACTAAGGATCCTATTTTGTCCTTGAGTCCTCCCTGTATGTCCTAATCCAAATTTATTAGTGATAAACCCATTATTTTTTCAAAAACAGCATCTGACTCTGGTGCCTACTTCTCTATTCAGAATACAAATGGGGAGGATTCATTAGACCCCGAACACCCCACACCCATCAGCTGGGGCAGGTTCCTATCAGTCTCCCTTCACTCCCTGCACCCCACTGCCCTCGCCCCTGACCCTGCCCAAGAGCCCCCGCCCTCCTGGCTGGCTCCTACAACAGTAACTAATTTTTAGGCACCAAACTGTCTAATCCTTGCAGTAACTCCATAAAGTAGGTTAGTTTGTATTCCGTCTGGGGCTCAGATAGGTTTGGTATCCTGCCTACGTCACATAGCTGGACCAACTCCTCATCTTAGAAACACTTTCAGGAGAAGGTCTGGAGATGTCCCAGGGTCCACTTTTTCCTCCCAGATAATATTTCCTTATCCTTCTTTGTCTGTCTGCCCATCCATCCATTCCCCATTCTCCTGCCTAATGAATATTTATTGATTTCCTATATGTACCAGGCACTATTTAAGAACCTAGGTAACAGCTGTGAGTAAACATGACCAAGTCTCCTACCTCATGTTACTTACATTCTGGTACTAATAACTAGCATTTACTCATTAGTGCCACATGTCAGCAACTGTTCCAAGCACTTTATATTCAGTATTCATTTAACCCTCATAGCAACTCTTGGAGTAGGTAGTAATACTATCACCTCCTGTTTGGCAGATGAGGAGAATTAGGCACAAAGAGGTTAAATAATCTACCCATGGTCACAGCTGGTAAGTGGTAGAGCTGGGATTAGACCCAAGAGTTTCATAGTAGAACGAAGTGTTTGCACTGCCTGGCAGTTGGAAGGCCATCCCTAGGCTTTCCTAGTAGATGATGGCTTAGACAACCCTTCCCAACGTTACTATACAGAAAGCCTTTAAATTGAAAGCCGGGACTCTGTGGTGAAACTTCAGACAAGACGATCAGCTGAAGAAAGAGGTACTTTGGAGTTGGAGGGGTGAGGTGGGTAGGAGCAGAAGAGAGTATCTCTAGTTCCTTCGAATCAAACCATGTCAACAACCACAGAAGTCTTTGCTTGCCATAGGCCTAAGAAAGAACAGTCAGGCCGTGGTCTCTTTAATTTGATTCTGAGATGGCCTTTTACTTACAAGGGGCTATATATAGTTTGTCTTGCTCGGTAGCCCAGAAATCTAGCATTACCAAACATAGAATTATTAAGCAAACAAACAAAAACCAGCACACCTGTCCTCCACAGAATTAAGGGCTAAAGAACTGTCAATTCTCAATTAAAGAAAATATTTTTTCCCTATAGGAATTCCCAAATATTTATGTGCATGGCTATAAAAAGTAAGCACCACAGAACAGAACCAATCTAGCACCATATTTGATTACATTTGGCTTCGGTCACTAACACTCTCATTGATGGTGAACATGTAGGAGTGCTTACTCTGTGCTCTGTGCATTGTATTTATTGCTTTACATGCATTTTCTTATTTTATGGAAGCCTATTTTTTGAACACCTATTGGGCACCAGGAATAAAAACAGAAAAATTTCTTGTCCTCAAGGAATTTATATTGTAGCGAAATATAATCTTCAGAACATTTAATCCTCATTACAACCCCAGAAAGTAGGGACAGTTCTTCTTTCTATTTTACAGATAAAGAAACCGCGGCAGGTGGATTAATATACTGTTCAAGGCCTTTCTTTTCAAATTCTACCAGCAGGTGGCTAAGGCCTTTCACACATTCTAACTCGTCACCACGCACAGCACAATGCCACTAACAAAGCAGCCGATTCCTGATTTACTGATTGGTACGTTCTAGTCAATAGCTGTTTGTAAATTTCAAATCTTGTTCCCTAATTAATTGGTTCCCTTATAATGGAAATACTCTCTCCAGGAAAAATGCTGATATTTTATCCTTGACATATTTGATAAAGGAACCCCAGCTCGTATGATCATAGCTACACAGCATGGATTTATACTCACTGTTGAATAAATGGACGATGTGCTGGAAACCAAGGAGAGCGAGGATCCATGAACTATTTTAAAAAAAGGAAAGAAAAGATGAATTACAGAGCTGGCTGCTATGAAACCAAAAAAAGGGGGGAGGGAAGGAGAAACTGAGCATCATAGGGCACTACCAGGCTCAGAGCAACTTGACCTCACCTTGACCTGACCTTTCCTGGTTTGGCTATAGGTCAGCGTCAAATAAGGAATAGTTTGTTAGGAGACTCGGTCAATTTTCTGTTACCACATTTTTTCTACAACCTTCTAAATACTTTTGCCCCCTATCAAAATAATACATGATTACTTCATGAAAATTTTCAAGGACAGAGAAGTGCTAAAAAACAAATCCACTAGAGCAGGGGTTCTCAAACTACGGCCTGCGGGCCACATGCAAATACAAATATTATATTTGTTCCCGTTTTGTTTTTTTACTTCAAAATAAGGTATGTGCATTGTGCATAGGAATTTGTTCATAGTTTTTTTTTTAAACTATAGTCCGGCCCTCCAACGGTCTGAGGGACAGTGAACTGGCCCCCTGTTTAAAAAGTTTGAGGACCCCTGCACTAGAGTAACCAGCGTGGTTCATAATTCCATTAGCCAGGGGCAACCTGTTACGATTCCTTTCTTTTTCTCATGTATTCATTTAGGGTTGAGATTGTGGTGCTTGTGTAGTTTATACCCTGCTAGCACCTGCCACTTGTATTTGCAGAAGAGGAGCTGATTATGGCCATAGCGAACCATTCTAGAAGAATACTTGCTTACAAACATGTCTAGAAAACACAATCCAGTGAAATATAGATTCTGTGTTAGATTTCTATCATGTCCACCAAGGGACAAGCAAGTGGTGTCGTCTTTTCCGTTTCTGACTGACACTGTTTGACGTAGGACCATCTTCATACCCCCTTAGCACCCTGCCTGCCCTCGGCCCAGGGGAGACATCCTAGTAGCCGCTTTCATGACATTTTAAAGCCTGGTCTTTTCTAGGACAAGGCATTCTGGCTGACTTCTCTGGTGGGAAACCAGTCTTTAATGACATTTTCTTGGTTCTCTCTCCACAACTTGTTTGAAAGAGAGAACTAGGCATGTGGCGACATCTCGGACCTTTTCATTGGGCGAAGCTTTCCTGGCCAGGGTGGAATGCCTCTGACACAGCGCCATCGCCTTCGGCCAGAGAGTGGGAGGCTCGGGAGTAACTTTCCACGTGTGCTCAGCGGCTTTCACGTACCAGGATTGAACTCAACTTGAATCAGCAGGTGCAGAAGCTACTTGCCCACAAGATACCCGAGGAACAGCTCAGGGTGCACTCAGGTGCCTCCTCCAAGTGGTTCGGACACTCTGAGTCCTGCACGTGGCTCTCAGCATGCCCGGGAGAGTGCTTGGCCTCCTCAGAGGCTCTGCCCATACCTTCCCTTTGTTCAGGATGCACCTCATTTTTATCTGTCCAAACCTTCACGATCAGCGCAAACCCCTTCTCCATGAAGACTTTCCTTATTGCCCTGACTGCCACCTGGATGGGCCCTCTCCTTCTGAACCCACAATGCTCTGGGCTTGCCCTACCTGCCCCCTTCTCTCTTAGCAGGTGCCTTCACACTGAGGTTGCCCCTGCACCACCACTCACAGCCACCTTTCTTAGAGTCCTAGATCTTTGCCTCCGTTCTCCCTCCATCCAGGACTCATCTGACTCATACCCCATAAAAAATCAGTTAAGGTGTTAAAGGCCAATAACGGCTTTCAGTGTTAATACGTCCACACATTAACAGAAGTTTCTCATGTCCTAATTTAGGGACCTAATTGTTCCAGAGGGTAACCTACTTCAGCCCCACGGCACAAGCAGCAGCAGTAGCAGCAGCAGCAGCAGCGGGAGATTATACTGGAGGCCACGCTGGGGGCAGAGATGCAAGTAACATAACCCCTTAATCACACCTTTCAGTCACACTGCCCCACCAGACACCTGCTCCAGAAGCCTGCACAGGGCTGCTGAATGGCCTCTGGCTGCTGGAAAATGGAAGTTTTCCTCTTATATTTCTCCACCTCATGGATTCGCTGACAGCCTGCAGCCATATCTCCATGGAAGCTGGGGCTACAGGCAGAGAAGAGCGCATCTGGCAGGGTTCGGGCGGAGGTACTTACTTTCCTCTGTAATTAACCCCTCTCACTTGGTCAGAAGCAACAGCAAAGCTGTGGTCGAGAGAAAGACTTTTGCCTTCCAGAGTCAACCGCAAACTGAATGTGGCTGCCCTGGACCACTGCAGCTGGCCCTCCTCTAAGTGAGCTGAGCCCACAAGTCGGGGCCCACACTGTGCGGCCTGGATACTCTGGGACAAAAGGCCTGTGAAAGTCACAAAGCCGAAACGGCACAAGCAGGCCATGCATTTCCTCTCTAAACTTGTACCGCCAACATTTTAAAGCTACAAGGAACCTCAGGTCATCTCTGCCATTGTGCAATCTGAAACTGAGAGAGACTGTCAACTGCTCAAGGTCACACAGCATTCAGGGACAGGATCTGCTTGCATTGCCCTTAAGTGACCTGTTGTTTTTTTTCCACTCCAAAGACATCCATTTTCAAAATGTCTCCCGCCTCTCCCTAAATGTAGGCAATTATAGTTGACTTTATATGTGAACCATGCGTCTGATGGAAATGAATTTACCTGAAATAACTTTGAAAGGCTGTATGTGGGCCATACCTATATCTAACCCACAGGGTTATCATACCCACTTCCTTCAAAATGAATGATGGTTAGTAAATCCCACAAAATCATTGCACAAGTACTTATGCTAATTCTTCCTAAATTTCTTTCCTGCTTTCTGGCATGTGATATACCTACTGACACTCTTATAATGAGGTTCTAAAGTGAGATGTGAATTTTTTTCCAACTGTTTCTGCAACACTGTTAAAAACTCAAAAGAGAGGAAAAAAGTCTCTCCCCAGTGAAATTAAAAACGTAATTGCACTCAGGTGGAATCTAAAAGTAAAAATAAATGAATAAACAAAAGAAAAAACATAGATATAGAGAACAAACTGATGGTTGCCAGGGGAAAGGGAGGTTGGGGGGCAAAGAGGTTAAGATGTACTAGTACAAATTGGCAACGGAATGTGACCTACAACATGGGGATTATAGTCAATAATATTGACTTGGGGGGGACACTTTGTAAGTTATATAAATGTCTAACCACTATGCGGTACACCTGAAACTAATATTAAATGCCAACAAATTAAAAATAAATTCTAAAAAAAGAGATATAAAGAAAAAAACACCATCTACTTGTACAAGTCTTATTTTGTTGTTGTTTTTTAACAACTGTGGAAGGGATAAAATCAATCTGGTGCCAAACTTCCCCAAAGACGGAAGTGCTATGTGTTTAAAGCACATCAACAGCAGTTTCTTCCTCTTCCTCACAACTTTGACTTTCCCCTCTGCATTCAGTTCCACGTCACCATGAATCATGGGATTTACAAAAGTCTAGACATTGCTCGTGGGCAAGCACCCGTTGTCAATGCCACTTTGCCATGCAGATGTTCCACAGTTGTGCTGTCTGACTCCAGATGGAATAAATAAAAGCGATCTGATGAGGATGCCGTAATGGTCCTGGACCTTTATGAGGCGACGTGTGCTTGTTTGGACAAGTTTCGGTGCTGCACACACGTTCACTCAGGTACACACACAGCAGAGAAGATGAATACAGCACAGGACACACTCCACCTGCAAGTCGTCATCAGGAGGGCTGGGGATGCTCCGTGGCCATGTGTGGCCAGCACACCCAATATTATAGGAGTTCAAGACAAACTGCCTCCTCTACACCTTACGGTCAACATATCCTCCAGTATTGCTGCTCTGAGTGGTTACAGCACTCATCTCTAGCTCTTAAATCCAGCGAAACTCCCTCAGCCCCCCATCCTCTGTTCCAGTAGGTTCCCATGTATGATTTACAGACTTGCACCTGCTCAATGAATGTCCCTGGATGCAACCAATACATAAATGAGGGTGGATACATAAATGAGGGAGGAGAGAATTAAGTTGCTAAAGGGATTAATAGGCAAAGCAGAAGCCAACATCTTGCATTTCCCTCTTGACCTCTTAGGGATTTCTGAAACAATCACAGGTTTGTTTGAGCTTTCCTGCCAAGAGGATGCTGGGCACATATTCCTACTCTCATGGAACTGGGAGCAGAGGGAAGGGTCTATGGCTCTCCTCCCACATTCTGTTCTGTCACTGACAAGACAAAAAAGGGCACAACCAGAGACATAGCCCTCAGCTGGGGCTGGACTGCCAGCTGCCAGGACACTGGTGCGGAAGCCGAGTCTACAGGTTGTGACGTGCAATAACATCATTGGGTTAACATTTGTGTATATCATCTCATTAATCTCATAATTCTGTGGGCTGAGTACTATTAGTACTCCCACATTATCAGTGAAAAAACAGAGGCAAAGAGAGGTGAAGTAATTGCCCAAGATCATACACCTAATAAATAGTGAAACTGGAATTCAAACCCTGGTAGTCTTACTACACACTCTTAACCATTCATTAGTCAGTGAGTCCTGCCTCCAGTGTCTGACCAGTTCACCCTGGGGAAGCATTGGGGGGAGTGGGTGATGTCCCCCCCAAAGCATTTTGATAGCTGTTTCCCTAACTCACACCTTGAGTGAAGGAACAAAGGGAAAGAAATAGGAATCGCTGGCAAAGTTGCCCACAGTATTTTGATCTTAAAATTCTGATTTAAATGATTTTAAGATAAAAATCTAATCCAAAATATTCCCACTTAGCAAGCAAAGAATGAAAAAGGCATCACTGAATGCAATAAACTTGAACCACTGATGCCTGAATAACAAAGCAGAGAATTCTTGAGAGCAGCAGAGAGGCATGGCTGCCTGGAGCCCCCCAAAGTCATAAGGGTCGTTCGACCGCCAAAGGGGTCGCGACCTACAGGTTGAGAACCACTGTCATAAGGGGCCATCAGCACTGGGAAACAAACTCTCCAGGAATGAGCTCCTCCAAGATGGGGAGCCAGTGGCTGAACCTCAAGATGAGGGTGCATGCCAAGAAGCTATGGCCCATGTCCAAGAACGAGAAACCTAGAGCAAAACTCAGTCAGCTCTAAGGTTCACAGTGATTTTTTAGTAGCATCTTCCCTCAAGTCCTGAGAGTTCAATTAAGAGTCAGACCCTACTATTCAGTTCTCCAGCCCGAACCCCCCCCAGTAAGTGGGGGAGTTGGAAGCACTCACAGGTGGACTCTTAGGCTAACGAAATGAACTTGACATAGAGGAGAATTAACTATACACCCCCTAACCTGGGAGAGGGATGGCCAGTCTCCTTGCTTACCTTCTTCAAACCCATCCCGGAAGGAGCCTGAGCGGCTCATGGTTCTGCTCTTCTCATCCAGGGACATGGAGCTATTCCGGAAGCGGCTGTCGGTGTACGGGTCATACTGCCCATCGGCATTGGAGAGGCTGTGGGTCCTCAGCATGGTTGGGTTGGACAAGCTCATCTGGGTGACAGTGGTGGGACTCGCTGGAACAAAAGGAATGGAATCAAAAGGTTGGGAATTCATGTCTTTGTTTAAATCCTGGATGGGGATGACGAGGAGACTGCTCGTTATCAGCCATATCCGTCCCCGCCAACTTCTCTCTCTTGTCTATTTTCTAAAAGGTGGTCACATCAGCATTTGAGTTACACACCGAGAGCTAAAAATAAGGGAGGGGAGGTGGGTCAGTTCCAAAGCAGGGCTCTGGGCCTCAGCTTTCCAACTTGGCACGTTCAGACAGGCTCGTGTCACCTTCCAGGCATGAGCTAATTACTCCCTGGGCTCATCTGGAACAATTCTCTCCAAAGCCCAAAGCCCGAAATAGCCCCAGCGGGCTTTTGATCAGATGGGAAGCGTTTGTGCATGACAAGAAACTCCTGCCTCAAAGAGTTATGGCTGGGAAAGAACAGTATGAACACAGGTCTCGTCCCCTCGGATGGGGAACACTGAATAAGGGAGCCTCAAGAGCTTCGGTGCAGAGGCGGCACATTTACCTTAGCCGAAGCCAGCTTTCTTATTAAAATCCAGTCATTTTAGTAATGTCCAATATTTCAGAAGTATCCCTTTAGTTAACTGAGAATGCAGAGTTAAATCAGACTTAATTCCAAGCCACACCTGTCCTTAAAGACTGAGTTTATTGCTCACAATAGTACTCAGGAAAGGCAGGGCGGCCTCTCAAAGGAAGGCCCCTCCTCCCTCCCATCAGCCTTCCAAGGCTCAGCTCCCATCCTGCCACCTTCATGCGACCTTCCCTGTAATTCCCGCCAGGACTGACTTTTCCTTTTCCTAACTATAAGTGGTACTTGCTACCTGATCATATTCCGTTTCTACATGGTTTCCTATAAACAGAATCCCCTGACTTGTCAGCAGGGACCGTGTCACACATTCTTTTCCTTTCCCCACTGTGCCCGTCAAAGCATCATGTCAGGAGTGGGCACTTCCAAGAATACTTGTTCAATCAAAACATGGTTTTTATCTCTAGCTTAAGAAAGCATGAGGATGACCAAACATGGGACACGTTCTTTTGTTTTTTTAAAATATATATTTTTATTGATTTCAGAGAGGAAGGAAGGGAAATAGAAACATCAATGATGAGAGAATCATTGATTGGCTGCCTCCTGCACGCGCCACACTGGGGATCGAGCCCACAACCTGGGCATGTGCCCTTGACCAGAATCAAACATGGGACCCGTCAGTCCATAGGCCGACGCTCTATCCACCAAGCCAAACTGGCTAGGGCTACAACCTACTTCTTTAGGTCTTAGAAATAGGGTACATACTTCTCAAAAATGGGATCAACCACAGAAAGACTATTACTGATTAGAGGATCAGAAACTTTTCCATTTCCTCTAGTTCCTTTGCTGTCAATCTCCTGTAATCAAACTGCACTGCGGAGGGCTGGCCAGATCCTGAGCGGGAGGAGATCACACGTCTATGACCAACAGCTCTCTTCCAAGCACAAGCTGACCTCTGCCCCAGGGAGCCGATCAACACAGCTAACGACAAGCGGCTACTCACCAAGCTGAGAGAAGTTGAACCTCGTTCCGGAGGGAGAAGTGACGCTGGAGCCGGAGGAGAAAGGGGAATTGGCAGCCGTGTCCTGCAGGCCTCCTGCAGAGTGGGACCGTAACCATTCTTTTGCGTCTTCTTGTGTGCGGAGCTGGGAGGTGGGGGTGTACCTGGACAGATGGAAATCAGGCTGGATTAACTATGAACGATGCTTATAGATAATGAACTCCAGGGAGGTGACGAGGAACACATATCCAAAGTTGATGTTTAAAAAAGTCCGATCACTATATATTCCCGAAACCTACCAAGTTTTTTTGCTACTTGGCCGCCTTTAGGGAAAATTGCAATTCCTGTCAGTTTGAAGGGAACACATAAAAGGAGCAAGGCTGGTGAACGCTCAGAAGAGCCGTCACGGGGCGTATCTGTAACATGTTGATTCATGACAGTGTCATGTCCAAGCCCCCACCCTGACGGCACCGAAGCAACCAAACAAGCTGCGGTTCGAGCTTGGAGGATTTTAGTTAGAGAGCTCAGGGCATCAGCCTTCTAGAGCACACACAGGTGGCCATGAATCACGGCACGTCAGAAACCAGACACGAAAAAGTGTGAGGACAGTGATGCCACTGCAATCTAGCATCAACACGTCTTCACAAAAGGAACCCCAGTCGTTGGGTTTCACACAGGGGAGGGGCTGCAGAAGTCCCACAGTCCCCCTCCTCATTGACATTTTTGGTAATAGTTTATCAAATGTCTCCAATGGGCTGAGTGCCTTCACAAACGTGATCTAAAATCACAGAATTTCGCCCTAACCGGTTTGGCTCAGTGAATAGAGCGTCGGCCTGCGGACTGAAGGGTCCCAGGTTCGATTCTGGTCAAGGGCATGAACCTTGGTTGCGGGCACATCCCCAGTAGGGGGTGTGCAGGAGGCAGCTGATCAATGTTTCTCTCTCATCGATGTTTCTAACTCTATGCCTCTCCCTTCCTCTCTGTAAAAAATCAATAAAAATATATTTAAAAATAAATAAATAAAATCACAGAATTTCTAAATCACTCAAGTGGCCACAGAAACCTTAGATTTACAAACAGATTGCCATGAGGTAGCTACTGATTAAGTCAACCCCGGGGTTCTTTTGGCTTACGAGAGGAGTTGTAGGTGTGTTGGGGTTGGATGTGTGTGAATGGAGGGAGGGAGCTAGAAAGGGAAAGTCAGAGTGAGAGGGAATATAAAATGTGTCTTCCTTCATGTTTTCACTCTAGTTGATGGACATGTAACTTTCTAGGTCCCATCAGTTGCTTGTAGACAGCCTGCCACATATCCCTATTCTAATTTAAAAAAAAACAAACACAAATTTTAGAAATCCAGAGCTACATAATATTCATAGGATAGGTCTGCTCTAGAAAGAAATACATCCAGCATTTTGAAATGTCAATATTTAGAGAGGTTAGCATCCTCTGGGGGCAACAGTGGGGCATCAAATCCAACTCATATTAAAAGTGGCTGAAACGGAAGCATCTAGATCGGTTGCCAACAATCCGCCCCGCCCAGTATGATGCACCCTGTTAGGTACAAAAGGCCTTGCCAGCTCCCCTTTCTCAGGCCACACTGGTGAGCCCCCTCCCACAGGACGTCTGCTGGGGGATCTTCCAGTACTGTGATTTTTAGATTCCTAGAATTGGCTTTACTCGGAGCTCCTATAGAAAGGAAGCATTGATACCTACCTCACATTACTGTTCAAAATGCTCTCAGCCTTACGAGCTACGGGTTATCAACTACAGACAGACATGACAGTGTTGAAACATTTCATCTCACGTTCCATTTTTTGCAAAAGCACGTAATGCTCAGTGCAGGGTGAAGCTGATGCTACAAAGAAGGAGGCATTTAGAGAGCAGGAGAAATGACAGCTGCAACCACGAGATGTTTAGACCACGCGGCAGGCGTCAGAACTGAAGTTCCTCCGATTGGCAGAGTGAAGTAGATGGTGGAAGCCATGGTGACTTATAGCATCTTGTTTTATCAGGACTAGCATCCAACTGAGCCCAAGCCATGACTTACAATGAACGAGAGGACATTACTTCCTCATAGACTTTTCCTTCTCTCACCAAAAGCTGATCATACCAATGTCTTGTTGGGCACCGGAAACTGACGCAAATTTTGATTATTATTCAGATGAGTGCAAAGTATCCGTCCTTAGTAATTTTTTATGGGCCGAAAGCTAAATATTTTTAAGCTTCAGGGTGATATTTCCTTCCTCCTTGGCTCGCGTCCTGGCTAACAAATCAACATGCTACAAGTCAAGTCCTTTGTCTCAGAAGGCAGCCTGTGAACTGCATGGTCATGGTGACATGCTCAACGATTAGACCCCCTGGCCCCGGAAACAGCAGGAACTGCTCTCTGGGCTTCACAGGGATGTTGTTCATGACACGGTTTCACCACATTAAGCCCCCAAAAGCACAGCCTCTGCTCAAGCAAATAAACCAACGAATGGACAGATGAGAATGAGAGGGTGTGAGGGCAGCGTTCATCCAAGGTCTGACTGCGGTGGCCAAAGCGGGGACCCCAGTCCAGCCCGAACCCCCACCAGCCAAGCCCCAAAGCCACACCACATGGCATGGATGCAAGGAGGAAACACAGATACCTGAGTCCTTTCTTAGGCAAAGTGTTCCTATCAAGGTGCGGGTCACTGTAGGAAAGTTAAAACAAAAATGAGAACTTCAGAGAAGCACAGAAAAAGCAGGCGGTGTGAGGAGGGAAAGGCTGAGACGGGGCTGACGAGATCTGGGGAAAGAGACTCACTTCACCAGAGGCGCTCCCTTCTCCACTGGCCATGCAGCACCTCCACGGGAAACCAAAGAACCCCAGCCCTGGCCTGCGCTGACCCAGTGCAGACCTTACCCCCGGAGGCCTGAGGCACTCAACCCCACAGGTTCAAAGCCACACTCGGGGGCTGCTGCACCTTGAAGCAGAGCCCGTGCCTTCCGCGGCCCCGTCGCCCATCTCTGCACCATCACTACTGCTTCGAGGAGAGAGAGATGCCAGCTTCTCCGCGCCCCTAACTCGGGGCCACGCCCAGTGCCACCGGCAGTGACTTCAGTGAGAGAAGGGACTTGTAGGAGGGTTTCAAGAGGCCTGCCGTCTGCATATTTGGAATTCACTCATGAATTCCAGGTCCTTCTCTGTTCCTGCAGTCCTTATTGGACGTAGCTGGGAGCTGAGCCCTGGGCCCGAGTCGGGGCGTGTTACAACTTGCTGGCTGATAAAGTCAAGGCATTCAGATTTCCAAAGAACCAGGGTTTAAAGGCTTGGTCTGTGGGTCTGACAACAACAAAGTTTTTGCTGTTGATGGGGTGAAGGGGGTTTTCATTAATTTTTTTTTCCTAGCACGAAACAACATCTGTTTGTTATGTTTGGCTAAGCCATGCCCTCCCCCACAAATTTCAGGTCAATATCCATCTCTGAGGCCCACCCACAGGGCAGCTGGGGGCAAACAAGCCTCTTCATTTATAAAGTCTCAACGCGCCACAGATTCTTTTTCATTATCGTTACAGGAAATGGGCACAGGGAACACAGCAGCCTGCAAAACAGACGGAGCCAAACTGCAGCAAAGGACTTGGAAAGGGAGAAGAGCCAGCTGTGTGGGGAGCGAGGGGGTGGGAGACAAAGGTGAGGGCCAAGCTGCACGGTGGGTGGTAGATCATTTCTGGACTCGGAGGGGAGGGGAGGGGAGGGGAGGGGAGGGGAGGGGAGGGGAGGGGAGGGGGAGGGAAGGGCGGGAAGCAGGAGCATGCCACAGGAAGGCTGAGATGCAAGTGAGAGCTTCTGCCGCCCCAGTTCAAGTGCAGGTTTTCGGTTCCTTCCCAAGCTGGGAAGGGAGGGGCCCGCCCAGCCCGCCTCTGGGGGCTTCAGTGGACAGCTGAACAGACCCTCACTGGCATGTCCGGGGGTCACGTACTACACCGGAGCCACGAGCACAAGCAGAAGCCTCAGGCCAACAGCCTCACACAAAACGTTTGGCTTAACACAGAGGGGCAGAGGAACCTGGAGGCTCGGTGGGGTCCCGGGCCCACGATGTCATTACCTGTCCTGTTTCCTGGGCAAAGTACTTCTGCAGAACTTAGGGCTAGCGGCAGGGGAGGAGAGAGGGCTAGAAGTCCAGGCAGGTAGAAAACAAGAGAAGGAACATTAGACCGGAAGAAAGGGGAGGAGTCGTTATATACAGTGATTTTTCTCATACCCAGGGAGACAATGGACACACCACGTGGCAGCGGGACCCGGACCCGCAGCTCTGGGGCGCTTCTGGTTTCCTGATCTCCTCTCACTGGCCAGCAGCCCCTCAGTAGGAGGGTGTCTGCCATGAGGACCACGAAATCGAGCCCACTGCCTAAAGAACATCCTGCCACACCCCCCGTGGCTGCAGCTGGCCACCCACTCTGCCTACACAATTACAGAGGGAGGAAAAAGAACAAACAGAATAGGATGGAAGGATTTCAAAGGTGGAATGCCATTTCGGATGGATGCATTAAATCTGCCTCCACGAGACTTCCAGTGGCTCCAAACACTGAGAATAACCACAACGAGAAAGATAACAGGAAGCAGAGCCGAGTTTCATTCTACCCCAAACTGGCTTTCCTACAGGAAGACATCGGTGATAAGAAAGAGGGCCGTCTCCCAGGCAAAGGGGACTTGCCACTTGGGATTCCTGACATAATCCTTTGCCTCCTGAAAGGGTGTCTTTCTGAGAGATACAGGCAGCCAGACGCACGCCACCAACCTTTCGGACAGTGTGGTCTTCACACTGTTGGTTCGCACAAAGGGAGCCAGGGAGTCGTCCTTAGAGGAGGCGAGGAGGCCCGAGGAGGAGTTGTGGCTCGGCCCCCCTCCGCTGCTGAGGGAGATGTCGATGGACTCACAGCTGGTGTGCAGGCTGCTGACGGACTGGAAGCCCTTGCTAACTGCTGAGGAGCTGCTGGCGTTGGTGCCCCAGGTGAGGCTGTTGGAGGGGCCTGAGTGTGCTGAGCTGGGGCTGGAGGCTAGCGGAGACGGGTTGATGTCCACATTCTTACTGTAGAGCGGACTGCTGCTCCCGCTGCTCAGGGCGCCGCTGCCCGAGGGGGACTCTAAGTTACCTGGCTGGGTCAAGGTGGCATGAGGATTGGAGAGGACCACCGCGTTTTTCATGTTTTCAGCTGTGGCCATGGGCACTTGCTTGCTAGGCTTCCCACCAAAGAGTCTGTGAAGAGACAAAGGGTTGTTTGGGTTGAACACCCAGAGCCAAGGGGCTGCGAGCTACTGGAGTCGGGGGCACAGGGACAGGAGCCTGGGAGTCCCTGGGGGAGGGCACCGTCGTTTCTACTGAAATGGCTCCAGGCATCCAGGGGACAGGCCGCGGGGCTCGGTGCATCACACGAGTCTAGCCTCCAGTCCTACAGGACTATGCATGCTCATCCAAGATCTCACTTCCCTTTCTTTCCAAGGGTAGCTGGAAAACTGCCCTGGCCCGGGAAACATCTAGAAGGAAAAGAGCTGCCTTCATCATCTTTGCATCCACGACCCCAGGGCAGTTTAACTCCGGGGACTTGGCCGATTAGATCTCTAAGCACAGCATGCAGAGTCAAGAACCTGAGTCTAGATCTGGATGGGGCCCGGGGAAAGCATCTTCACAGGCGAGCCCCGTCTGAAAGATGTGCTCTGAGGGCCGGAGTGCTAGCACCACAGAAACCTTGCCGAGTTCACAGGGCGCTAGACCAGACTCTCAGTGTGAACTGTGTCTCTGTGACAGACACATAGAAATGCCGTTCCATGTCACCCCCCTGCTGGTGACCAAAACAGTGCTGTTAGAACACAGGCAATGGCACACACGTCTCCCTCTCCCATTGGCGGAGGGATACCTGGTAGAGGGGCAGAGTTGCTTTAAGTCAGGGGGACGGTACACGCTCCAGTAACGCAAGTAATTCCATCCACTCAAAGTCTGCCTTTCCCCAAGCTCCTCAGTGCGGTGAGTTTGATCTCTGTTTTCTCCAAACAGTTCTTACAATTCTCAATTATTGTGAAAACAAACAACCGACAGACCATATAACCAGTCCTCCCTACAATATCTGGTGACAGATGAGAAACACTTTGGCCTGGTGACCATCAGAGAATGAAATATCTGACTGCACAATCGTGGCTTTAGGATGCTTACACACTTCCAGCAATGGGGACCTCACTATGTCAAGGCGTGGCTCATCCCAGGGCCAAGCACTTCCAACAAGAAAACCAAAATAGGATCCATCTTCACGTTTGCTCATTGCTCCTGATCCCGCCCTGTGTAACTACACAGAAGAAGGCTGCGTTTTCCTTGAAGAGAGTTATCACACTCCACCTAAGGCCTACCTTCTCCAAACCAAGGCACAATGAGAGCCCTGAGAGCGCCTTCAGGAGTTAGTAAACAATGAAACTGCCAGGCATTGGCTAAAAGGTGTTCTGTGTTGAACCTAAGAAGCTGCTGCATTCTCAAGCATTCTATTACACTAGCCTAAGGGTCTAGTAAAATGCCTTTGTAGTCACTAAAGGAAATCTATAATACCAAAGAGCGAATATTACATAGAATACTTGAGGCAAGAAGCAGAGAAAAATTTCATTTACAAGGCAATCTGTTAAAAGAACAAAGAGCAGCCCAATAGGACCTTCCCCTGGAAAAAAAAAAGTAATCATTACTGAAATTCTAATAATCAAGTCTAGACAAAGAACTGAGCTGCCTCATTATACCTTTCATGTGGAATGCTGCTTCTGAAGTCTCTTCAAACATTCCGATCCATCCCCAAATATGTACATGTGCACATAATTTTTGTTTTTTTCACTGCTCGGTTTTCTGTCCTTGAGACTTACTCTTTCCTACGACAAGAAATTCCCTGGGAAGGTAGAATAAGCCCTGTCCTATGCATATGCAGTTTGAGGATGGTCCAGTGGACATGGATATTATAAGGAGATACTATGAACAGGCAACAACTGCACACTTTTAAAAGAAAGTTTAAGAAAAAACAGAAAATCATATTTTCATGCAAAAATTTCCATCCAGGGTGGAAATGTGAGAAAATGTCTTATTCCTATTACCTTAAAAGGCAATAGGAAACCAATTTCTCCTTTTTAGAAACACTTCTGCTTTAAGAGGCTTTTTAAATTTTTATTTCAAGGAAACTAAAATTTCAGAGACTAATGCGGAATTATACATGCAGTTATAAATAAGTATGCGGAGAATATTGGACTATTTGAGTGAAGGATCTGGCCAAGATCACTGTCTAGCATAATGATGAGGAATCTCAGCCACAGAATTAACAAGACAAGAACTTTCTGCTTCCCTGAGCTACCCATCCAGATATGGATGGTAGCTAACTTTTATTGAGTACTTACTAGGGGTCAGTATTGCTACACAAGATTAATCTCCACAAGAACTCTCAGGTGGGTATTGGTACCCCCATTTTACAGATGAGAAAACTGAGGCATAACTGCTAAGAAAGCTTATGTGGCGGCTAATTAAGGTGAACCCAAGATTTGAACCCAGGATGATTGATTGCAGGGGCTTATGATTTTCAACCTAACATAGAAAAATAATTGACTGCAAAGCTGCTGGAAGCATCTGACCAAACAAGTTTATCCTAGGACTGATAAAGTGGAGAAAACAGAGGTTGCTTTAACTGAGAAACAGGAAATTATGAATCCAGGACACCATTCCATATATTCCAGTTCTGCTCAGGGCCACTTCCCCACCTACCTGCGGAGTGTGGGAGAGGCCACGTCAGGGTACTTGGTGCCCGGCTGGAGAGTGGCCTGAGCCGCACTGGACACAGGCTGGGCTGCTGGGTTCACCTTCACTGAGTTACAGGAAGCCACGCTCTCACTGTCAGATGAGATGCCTTTCTCTTTGTCCGTCTGGTTGACCAGACCCGGCAGAGAGCTGCCCAGGGCCGTTTTGCAAGGCTCCCTCAGCTTGGGCACCGGCAGGCCTGCGGACTTGCTGCTGATGTTGGAATCGATGCTGCTGGTACTAGATCTGTTCCCAGCCCCGTTGCGGCTGGTGGACTTACTGGGCCGTGGCAAACTCCGGTACTGCAAGTTTGTCCGGGAGCTGAGGGACAGGTACCCGTCGTCCTGGTTCTGAGCCCCGTCCATGCTCGTCTTCCGGCCAGTGGACCGACCCACAAGCGCCGATGACTTTGGGATTTTGCCCAGGGTGGCTGACCTGCTGGTGACAGTGGCTCCACTGGCTGTGATCATGGCCAGACCGGCGGCCGAGCCACTCTGCTTCTTGAACCCAAAGCTGTTGGCATTGGCAGTGGGCGTCCTGGCGCTGCCGGGGAGGGGCTTTTTGGATTCGTCCCCACTGCTGCGGCCAGCGTCGGACGGGGAGCGCTTCACCTGGGAGGCTTTGGGAGAGAGCCTTCCTTTCTCGGACACCTTTGCATCGTCAGTTTTTCCTGAGAGAGAAATTGGCAAAGTTAACCTGCAAACCGAGAAGCCAGCTCATCAGCTCAGTCTGTTTAAAATCCTCCCCTTCTTCAAAGAACCGGCTCACTTTCCTCTTGGGGAGAGCAGCGCCTTGGGAGGCAGAAGACAGCTTTTTAGAAAGACAATCTAGTCTACCACTGTCACTGGGAGCCTTTTAGGAGATGTCAGAGATTCTACTCACTTGCAAAGCATCTGAATTTACCCAGAGCAAAGCCAAGCCAGCCAATCACCGCTGTGTCTGGAGAAGAGACCCTGACTTTTACTGAACTTTCTCCCTCTGTCCATTAAAACGATGTTCCTAACACTTCCAGGAGGCACTCCTGACTTCCTGCAAAAACACTTCCCCCGTTTACACACACCCTTCAGTCATGGACAATATCAACTCCACATACCAACAGTTTATAAACACTTGACCGTGTGCCCTTGGGGGTTAGCTCCTGCCCAGCACACGGTCACACTCGTTCACTGTGGCCTCAGCCAGGAAACCATCTGCAGAGTTAAGCCCTCACACTCACATATTTCCATCTGGAAAGAGGAAGAGCTGTGAACCTGTTTGAAAGAGGATTATTAGCAGAGTCTACACCAGTGATGGCGAACCTATGACACGCGTGCCAGAGGTGACACGCGTGCCAGAGGTGACACGTGAACTCATTCTTTTGGTTGATTTTTCTTTGTTAAATGGCATTTAAATATATAAAATAAATATCAAAAATATAAGTCTTTGTTTTACTATGGTGGCAAATATCAAAAAATTTCTATATGTGACACGGCACCAGAGTTAAGTTAGGGTTTTTCAAAATGCTGACACGCCGAGCTCAAAAGGTTCTCCATCACTGGCCTACACCCAGAGAACAAATACCTGAGCATGTACAGGGACTTAAAACCACACACACAATTCCTTGCTAGAGTGACTGCGGTTTTGGTTTTCAAACTGACACCTGTGGATGCCAGACAGCGTCTGCCTCTCACTCACCGGTTCCCGGCGTCTTGAGCGTGCCCGCCGGGGCAGCCGGCTTCGTCCTCGGCATGGTGATGCCCACCTGGGCGGTCATGCCTCGCCGCCACGAGCCTGTCTGGGAGATGACGGGGTTCTTCTTGCCCGACGTGCTTTTGTCAGACTCATCAGACACGTCCGAGGGATTCCGCCGCCACTTGGACCCCGGCTCCATCTTTATGCCGCTGTCTGACCCTCCGTCGGACTTCTTGACATCATCGCCCGACCAGAGGGAGTTCCTCTCCACCTGCGAGTGCTTCTCCGCGTCGGTCTGTGGGTGAGACTCCGAGTTAGTCCCTCCCAAGCCCCAGGTTAGAGAGACCCTCACCACAGAGCAGAGATGCCAGTACACAGGACTAATTAAGGGGAGAATAGTAACCCCTTGAAAATGATCGGGCCTTGGTACTCTGGCTATCTTATTAGAAAGCTGATTTTTGGGGTCCAAGGAAAGTAAAGAATGCAAATGTCCTACAGGGATGTGAGGAAGGAGAGTACAAGGAGCCAGAAGATCACGAGGGAAAGAGCCCCATAGAGAGCCGCGAGCAGACGGAGATGTGGCGAGAATTCAGCCACCAGCTCTGCCACTTGGCGACAGACCTCCTCTCAGTGGGGCAGCCTGATCTCTAGCCAGCATCCAGCCTCCTGGCTGTTTCCCTTTGTTCTGCCGGCTCCCTATCACTCCCCTGGCAGCGAGAGCTTTGAAGCTCGTGAAGCGCCTGCCTGCCTAACGCTCTGAGCCAGTGAGTGAGCAGGCAAGGGTGGCTGCTACTTCTACAGGGAGGGAGAGGGGCTGAGAGGAAACACATCCTCCAAAGCCATTCCCCCCAAGCTCACAGCCGGCGGAGCCTGCTCCTATCCCAGCTCCGTGTCTGTGCCCCATCGCTTTGCTCCTCCTGTGGGATTCTCAGACCGGGGATATGATTCGCCAGCTTTCTTTGGAAGAGCCCTGACCTGCTGGCATGGAACCCAGGAGGGGGCAGAAGTGTGATGTCAATGATTCACTGGGTGAAAAGGCAGGAGCTAACCAGATCGCCTTGGGGGCCTCCCTCAGGGTGGGGCCAGGCCAAGGAGATGCCGGTGGGAGAAGCCATGCAGAGAATGGGGACGGGAGGTCAGCCACACTTTGGGGGGGGGAGGGGGGCATATTAAGACAGAAGTCCCAGAGAGTGGGCACCATCAGCAAGGCAGGAAATCAAAATGATCACCTGGCCAGAATCTGGTCTAATGCCTGGGATCCAAGAGTACACCTTCCTCCACAAAATACACTGGCTGGGAGGGATAAAGTGTAAATACAGACGAGCAGCCCACACTCAGTCGTCTCTCCATCACCACCATGGACTCCTCTCTCTCAACCCCTTCACCCCCTATGAATTCCACTCATCCACGACAGCCACATGACGAGTGCGTTCGGTCATTCCTCAGCACATACTGAGTTCCTGCTGCTGGTACCAGGCACCAGAGACATGAAGAGGGTGAAAACCTCTCCACCTTTGGGAACCCCGCTGTGGCGAGGGACAGAGGGAGACTTCCGCCCTGAGCACAGAGCAGGAGCTCCCAGGAGGCTGGGTGAGGAAAGGTGCGAACAGGCGAACACAGGCCTTCCAAGCCACTGCGCGCTGTAACAAAAAGATGTCATCTGATCCCGGCGATCACCTGGTGCAATAGGGTAAGTAGGTAAGGAGTGCTGTCTTCATCTCAGTTTTACAGGTGCATGGAAACTAAAGCCACGCACGCCCTGTCCCCCCACGCTCCTTCCTCGGAACAATTCCAGGATACCCATTCAACCAGGATCTCAGTGCCCGCTGCTTGCAGGCACCCACCGCGCAGGGCCTGAGGATCTGTGGGTAAGACTGGTTCCACACTCCTGGAGCATACAATCCAGTGAAAGAGGCAGAGATTGCACAAATAACACAAGCAAATGACTAGTTGTGAATTATGAAGGCTGTTATAAGGATAAAGGTGTCTGAGAGAGAAATACAGGCATTGTCGTAATTTAGATTACGAGAGCAGGGACAATGTTCAGGTAAGGCCTGTCTGAAGAAGTGCCCTAAAGAATGAAAAGAAACTTGCTAAGAGAAGAGTTTAGGGAAGAGCATGAGCAAAGGCCCTGGGCATGAAAGTGTGGCTCAGGAAGCATTCACCTAAAATGTTTGCCCAGGGCCACTCCCTCCCAGGCAAGCTCTGGGGCACTGGGAATACTACAATGACCAAGGTCAAGTACAAATCATTGCTATCTTGTTCAGATACCTTGTAACACTTTCCAATATATTTTAAGAGGTACCGAAAGCTTAGCATGTACCCCATCCTGGGGTTCTGCATTCGTTCTTTTAATAGTCATTCCTATGCCCTATTTCCCCTAATAAAATTGTAGCAGTAACAGTAACAACACATTTTATTAAGCACGGACTGTGTGTTGGGCACTGGGCTAAGGTGCTTTACATGTGTCATTTAATTTAATCCTCACCAAAAATCTCTGAGGAAGTTACAGTTCGGTCTCAGCTTGACATAAGACAGTTGAGGCGCAGAGTGGAAACGTGTCCAGGATGACACAGTGAGGAAGTGGAGGTGCAAGGATTGATTCCACAGAGTCCACGTTCTATGCCTTTATGCCACTGCCTTCCTGGAGAACAAGCCCAAGGACACGAGGCATTTCTGCTTGCCCAGCGGCTCCTAACACCATCCCAGCACGCAGTGGATTCTCTTTCCATACTGGCTCGCTGGTTGTTCCCCAGCCCCGCCCCCTGAGAAGCTCCAGCCTAGCCTCTCGGGTGGGACCCCCCAGAACCCCGATTCTGCCAGTGGCACAGAGAGTGCTCGTAGCCCTGGCTCAGGGCTGTGGCTAGAGTCCCCCTCTGTAAAGAACGATCACCCCATCACCACACCCTCACAACTTGGGCCTGGCGGCAGCCTCCCCCACACTGCTCTGCACACTGGGCGTCTGCCTGGGACACTGCTGCCTTCAAGTTCCTATCTGCTTAGCAAGCCCTCCCTGAGCCATAGGCCAGACCGTCTGGTGGCTCCACTAGGGATCAAAAGATGAAACGGTCCCAGCCTTTCTGTTTCCAAGGCTTCCAACACAAGCCAGCTGTATCCCCACCCCTAACCCCCCCGCCCCCCCAGCCCCGGCCCCAACTTCTCGATGCCTTTGTCAGCTGTTCCCATCTCAAATGGCACCTAATGTTGGAAGGATTTTCCTATGGCCCCTACCTGGAAGTCCATTTAGTCACTCAACATCCAGGTGGGGAAACAGCCATACAGGAGAGGGGAGAGGCCTGAAGACTGGAGAGTTCGTGACCCAGGGCCCACAGCAGGGAGGCCGATCCTCAGACTGACAGAGGGGAACCAAGGTGGGGCTGAGCAGCGAAGGCGGGGCTGGGGGGGGGGGGCTGCGGGGAGGCCCAGGGCACAATGGGAGGGGAGCACATGGGCTGGAGTCGGGCAGACTTAAGGTTCAAGGACTGGATGCTGCCACTCCTTTGCTTACCTTCCCCAAGATCATTACCTTGCATATAAAACGGGGAAGTAATCCAGAGGAAATTAAGAAAGAAACAAGATAACTCTGAGCAGCTACCGAGAGCCAGGCACCGAGCGAGAGAGGTCAGATAAAGCGTTTCCAGGGCACCCCCACTCTCGCCCTGCAGGATGGATCTATTTACTGTCATTTCATGGGAGAGGAGCAGAGGCTTGGAGAGGTTGGTTAGCTTGTCCAAGGATGTCCACACTTTTTCCCTGACCCACAACCTGGTCTGGCTGCCCAGCTCTCCCGGAGGAAGTCAGTCAAGGGGCTGTGGCACCTCGGCGGGGAGTGTCTGCCCAGGCGCTGAGAAGCAGCACACGATGCCCGAGGCGGATACCTGGGCATGGGTGCCTCGGCAGCGCACACTCAGGGCTCAACATCCTGGAGGAAAAGTCACTTAGACAGGGCCTCCACCTGCCAGGATCACTCCTCCCCATGCGCCTCCTGCTCTTCCAGCAGCTAAATGAGGCTGATCTCAAGCTTTCCAGACCACACCGTCCTGTTCCTTAGATGTCCTTCCTCTTAGCTATTCCTCAGAGGCTTTTGAACCTGAAAACCTAGGGTAACCTGCTTTCCCTGGGACACGCTGAGCTGCTTCTCCCTGACTCTCCCCGCCTTGCCTGGGACACTGTGCTGCCCACCCACCCAGGGAACCAGTATGTGCAGAACCGGAGTGAGCCCTGGGGAAGGCCGGCCAGGCACATCTGCCCACTGCCTGCTGCTGAGGGGGAGGAGTAATGGCCCTTCGCATCCCCCCGAGTGGTGCAGAGAGGATGGGGAGGCTGTATCTACATGGATTCAAATATTTGGAAATGCTCCCTGGGCAGGAACAAAGGGGTGCCACTAAAAACCCACTTACAGAGACCATTGCAATAGGAATCTTAGTAACTATTGGTGCTTTATTGGTGCAAGTCGGTGCTTTATTTCAATTCCTATTTGCTGGGCTTTTATTTAAATACTAGAGGCCTGGTGCACAAAATTTGTGCACAGCAGGGGGGGGGGGGCGCGGGCGTGTCTCAGCCCGGCCTGCACCCTCTCTAATCCAGGACCCTTTGGACGACATCCTTCTCACAATCTGGGACCGCTGGCACCTAACCGCTCGCCTGCCGGCCTGCTCGATTGTCCCAAACCACCTCTGCCTGTCAGCCTGATGCCTCTAACTGCTCCCCTGCCAGCCTGATCACCCCTAACTGCCTCTGCCTCGGCCTCTGCCACTTTGGCTTTGTCCAGAAGGACATCCAGTCTAATTAGCATATTATCCTTTTATTAGTATAGATTTTAAACACAGGTCATTTTAAGCAAAAACAACCCAGTGGATATTAAACCCTTTATTTATTTATATTTTTAATTTTTTTATAAAAATATATTTTATTGATTTTTTACAGAGAGGAAGGGAGAGGGATAGAGAGTTAGAAACATCGATGAGAAAGAAACATCAATCAGCTGCCTCCTGCACACCCCCTACTGGGGATGTGCCTGCAACCAAGGTACATGCCCTTGGCCGGAATCGAACCCGGGACCCTTCAGTCTGCAGGTCAACACTCTATCCACTGAGCCAAACTGGTTAGGGCAAGGATATTAAACCCTTTAAGTCCCTTGTAATTAACTCTCTGATCATGATCAAGGGTCATGTATTTTTGAACCTGTTCTGATGTGACCTGAGCTCGATGAAAGCAAAAAGCCGGTCACAGAGGGGAGGGGCCTGGCATGAACTGGATTCAAGTGCACCTGACAGGAAAGCATTTGTGGGTCCCAGATGCTAACTCTGTGTTGCTGTGGAAAATAGATTCCACCCCGGCTTTGTGCAGAGGGAACACAGACCAGGAGCTTCCTCCAACAGTGTTTTGCTGCTTAGTGTGCGTCTTAGGAGCAAGCCTGTTCCCAGCTGGCGAGTAAATAAAAGAGAAACTACTGATTTCCTGATCCTCCCTGCCTCTCTCCCTCCTTCAGTCCCCTCCTCTCTGCCTCCCTCCCTCTCTCCTCTCAAGTATCTCCCACAGCCTGCCTGCCCCTGAATGCAGACACCCGGGGGTCAATTCCTTGGTTCTCCATTTTAGTATCTAAGGATGTGTGGAAGCGGTTTTTATTTATGTTACGTATGTTATGAAATTAGGATGAATATCAAAGAAAAAACTGGTGTCCACAAGGAAAGGAGAACCAGGGGACACTGTGACGTTTGGCAAGTGGAGGCGGGAGGGACACAGGTGGTCTGGGAGCTTGTAACATGTCTAATCACTGATTGAACAGTGATCACTCTGGGGCAGTGACTTAGGGTTTTTTTTTTTTTTGAGGTGTAAGAGTCATATAATGAAGTTTGAAATCGTAAGTATACAGCTTGAATAAATTTTATCAGTTTAACTTACATAACTACCGCTCAGAAATCAAGCTACAGAAAGAACATTATCAGCACCCCCAAATCTTTGTGCCTCTTTCATCTGGATAGTTCCCCCCACCCCTGCTAACAACCACTAAAACCCATCCTCACTCTCCAACAATAATTAGAAATTCTGGCTAAACTGAAAACTCAAGAAGTCACAGGCAAACTACTTAGAGCAGCGGTTCTCAACCTGTGGGTCACGACCCCTTTGGGGGTTGAACGACCCTTTCACAGGGATCGCCTAAATACATCCCACATATCAGATATTTACATTAAGAGTCATAACAGTATGCCGAAACCGGTTTGGCTCAGTGGATAGAGCGTCGGCCTGCGGACTGAAAGGTCCCAGGTTCGATTCCGGTCAAGGGCATGTACCTGGGTTGCGGGCATATCCCCAGTAGGAGATGTGCAGGAGGCAGCTGATCGATGTTTCTCTCTCATCGATGTTTCTAACTCTCTATCTCTCTCCCTTCCTCTCTGTAAAAAATCAATAAAATATATTTAAGAAAAAAAAAAAAGAGTCATAACAGTAGCAAAATTATAATTATGAAGTAGCAACGAAAATAATTTTATGGTTGGGGGTCACCACAACATGAGGAACTGTATTAAAGGGCATTAGGAAGGTTGAGAGCCACAGACTTAGAGCCTACACCTAATACATGGCATCAGGCAGTGAACACTCCTTTCTGTGGGGCCGAATTACTCCCACACTCTGACGCATCTGCAAAGAAAAGATGCCTTTGAGAGCAAAGAGATTCCAAAGCAGTCCCTATCTGTACAGAGTGAGAAATGCCGAGAAAGAAAGCAGATGAGGAAGGGAGTGAACAGACACGGAAGGGAGTGAGCGGAGAGGGCAGGTCAGCTCTGCCCTCCCAAGGTCCCTCTGGGAGACTCTGTCGGGATCAGACCTTCCACGGGTTCCCCAGAGGCAGCGGCTGCGGGTGAGGAGACCCATCATGGAAAAGATTACAGCCCCCATGTGCCAGGGCCATGACTGACCAGACCTTGTGCTGCTCAGGCCCACCTTGGGGACCAGGCGTGAGGATGGCACTTGGCTTTGCACTAGTGAAATGGGCCGACTAGGCCCAAACCCTCCCTCCGACCACTCAGGAATGCGATGAGGGTGAGTGAATGGACCCCTGGGAAACTGCTTGCAAAGCACATACAAGGTGGCACTGTATTCAAAACAGAACAGCTGAGCGTGTCAGGTAGGGGTTGAAAATGTAAGTTCTCAGAGTGAGGCAGCTGTGCACCCTGGGGCCTGGGTGCAGGGCCGGAGGGGGGGACACCTGGGCATCGCTGATGGTTGCCATTGGAGAACCTAGTTTCAAAGAGGTAATATCTTCTGATTTTTTTTCCAAGAGAAAAGTTGTGTTAAAATAACACAATTTATAAAATTTGACATGGAATTCAGTTTCAAAGAAAAATAATACCGTGGGCCCAATAAACCACATCGTCAGGAGGATGTGACCTACACCCGGACAGTGCCCAAGCTCTGGTCGGGGCGTCCTGGTCCTCCCATCCGGGGCTTTCAATCTTTGTTCCCACCTCATCGTTCTCAAGGGATCAGACACATGCCTGTGGACGGCTAAGAGGGGACACACACTCCAGGTTAAGCATGGCCACTGAGTCAGCGTCCTATCGTTTTAAAAACAGATTATGAAACTGAGGTCCAGGAAGGAAACATGATTTACCAAGGCCACCACAGTGAGAGTGGTGAGGTCTCCCCACTCCCATTTCCAGTGCCCTGAGCCTGACCCCCGCCCCTGCAGGCAGAGGCCACCGTTGGGGGACCAATACACAGGCAGTGAGCAGGAGATTGAGCCCTGTCTCATGAACCTGGGGATTCTGCTCACCCCTGATGGCCCCCTGGGCCCACAAGACCAAGGCTTTCTGCTGGCAGGGCCTTTGGGGGATCTTGGGGGTGGGGAACCTGGTCCTTACCTGCACATCCAGGTTTTTGCGAGAAGAGGCAGGTGTGTTGGCATAGGAGCTGATGGAGGAGCTGGTGTTGATGTCATCAGTGCTGAGGTTGTCTATGGTGTCGCTGATCCCGCTGCTGACGGAGCTGCTGTCATCCCAGCTGCCAAGACAAACACATACTGAGCATCAGAACCTCCCGCTGGGCCAGCTCAGGCTGCCGGTGCCAACATACGCACACCATCCCCAGGCTCCCTTCGCCAGCTCAGGCTGCCAGTGCCAACATACGCACACCATCCCCGAGGCTCCATGTGTCATGAAGCCCCAGACAAAGCTCTTTGCTTCTGACGTGACTCATCTTCATGGGAGCCACCATTCTTGCTGTTTTGGACAGGCAGCTGGGTCCAGTGGCTGACATAGACCTGCCCCGAAGGGCTGGGTGCTTCCCTGAGCAGAGGTGGCTAAAGACAGTACCCACTTCCTATCCTCAATTTCGTCTCGGGAACGTTGTAAAAGCCAATGGCCACTTCCCAGGCCTCTCGGCGGAACAGGAGCCGTGGCTTTGGAGACTAGAGCCGAGAGCGGTGCAGAGAAAGATGCAGTAGCAGCACTCTCCTTGGGCATCAGAGTAGGTACGAATACTCTGGACTCCACTCCTGCCTTTCACTTCAAGGCAACGAAAGGCAGCAGGAGCCTGAGAGCTCTACTTGTAGCTCTGCCTCTAATCATATCCCAGGATACATCTAAAATAGAATCCTTCACTGCCTACCTCTCAAGTCCATTGAGACCACCCGCACCCCTGCCCAAGGCAAGTGTCTGGGAAACGATTCTTCTATTTCGTCCTTGCCATCTCCCACACCATCATGACATCTAAATCCCCCGCCTGGTCCTGCCGTCTCGGCTGCAATGTGCACCTGCCACCCCACAGTTCAAGCTGCTACCGACTCTACCTAGGTTACGGCCAACAGGTCGCTGGGCTCTGTGCCCACTTCTAAACATGCCATTCTCCCCATGGCAGCCAACTGAAACGTAAGTCAGGTCCTGCTGCTCCACTTTCGCATCCTCCAGTGGCTTCTTGGGTACTGAAAACCCACACGCCTACTCTGGCCCTCAAGACCCTCTACCTGCCTCCCTCCTTAGTCCTGTCCCCACCAGCCTCTCCGTCACTCTCTGGCTCTGACCACATGGGCTCTACTCCTTCTAAGCCAACAGCGTTCTTGTATTCAGGGCTCTCCACTTGTCGTCCCTCTTCCTGGACACTTGCTGCTGCCTCCTTCTCATCTGAAGTGTCACCCTCAGAAAGGCCTCTTTCCTGTCTGTCTATGTACAGCCCCCCCCCACCCCCCCAATCCACCAAGCCTGCTGCATTTTCTCCTTTGGTTGCAGGTGCATCGCAGGTGATTTAAACTCATGGGGCTATAAAAAAGCCTCCAACACTGCTCTACTTGATCTAGAGAAAATAAAAGCAAGCACTATGGTTTCCTATCGTACAGGTAGAGAACCTGAGGCTCAGAAAGGCCGGACCGCTAGTCAGTGGCGGAGCAGGACCGGGATCTGGCCATTATGACTCTGAAGTCAACCTCTTTCCTGTGACGCCAGGCAGCATTCCTTTTTTTTTTTTTTTTTTTTTTTTGAGAATTGTTCCTTAATTTATTTTTTATCCTCACCCGAGGATATTTTTCCATTGCCTATTTTTTTTAGAGAAAGTGGAAGAGAGAGGGAAAGACAGAGAAAAACATCAATGTGAGAGAAACACATTGGTTGCCTCCTGCATAAGCCCTGACCAGGGCCTGGGCCAGGAAGGAGCCTGCAACCAAGGTACGTGCCCTTGACTGGAATTGAACCTGGGACCCTTTGGTCCGCAGGCCGACGCTCTATCCACTGAGCCAAACCTGCTAGGCCAGGCAGCATTCCTTATGGTAATCTTCAGGGCACACGGGCACATGGCACGGCTCACTTCCCGGGAGGAAGCCAAGGCTTACGGGGTGAGGCACCAGGTTCACCTTCATACAGCAGGCATGGTGAGCCAGCAACTACTCCTGTTCTGTCTGATAGCAAAGCACTGACTTAGCCACTGTACCCACCACTCAGGCCTCCACCCGTGTCTTGCCTCGGAAATGCCGGGTAGGTGAGGCCCACCCCCAATAACTCAGAAGTTCTAGTTCATTCCAGCAGCTTACTAGTACAAGGTGCCTCCCTGAGCTCTAAGGGGCAGGCAGGATGACAGAGGCTTAGTGAAAATCTCTTTTCATTGCCTTTCCCTCCAGCACGCCTATTTGGCTTCCAAAAGCCCACCCGGAGGGTCCCACAGAAATGAGGGGAAAATGTGTGCCTGGGCCCCAAGTAGAAGGATAAAGGCAGGAAGCCTGAGGGCTCAGAAGGCGCTGTATTGTGAAGTCACAGGGTCCAGGAGGTCCCAGGCTCCAGGGTCTTAGTAAATGTCACGCATGTGATTCCACTGCTTTGGTCTGGCCTCCATTTGGTTCCAAATCCTCCTTCGAGACCTTCTCCAAATCCCAAAGCCCACCCTCACTTCCCTGAACTCTGAATTCCCAATCTGACACATTTGGATTCATTCTATACACTCACACCATTTTCTAGGTTTTTCCCTACGGAAAGACCAGCCCTACCTTCCAAATCTGTGCAGAGGCTGCCCGGGGATGGCAGCTGAGTGCCTCTCAGGTGTCAGGCATAGCGCAGGGCACTTTGCATATATTATACATCTCTCTCCAGTCCCCATATCATTCCTGCAAAGCACCTATTATCCTCCCCACTTAACAGATGAAGAAATCAAGGCTGAAAGAATAAGTATCCTGACCAGTGCTTTTCAGCCAATGTTGCTTTGGGTTTAAAATGCAGAACTGTCTATCGATTTCAGAACATGTGCTCCTCTGGCCTGGGTCACGCCTTTCACAACAAGGCCAATCACGGAGCACCTGCCATGTGCCAACCAGCCAACATTTGCACGAATTCTCGCCAACTCTCCTGTATACTCAGAGGTGGCCTTGCCTCATAATGAGGAAACTGAGGCTGTGAGAATCATCGTCCAAGGTCACTCTGCAAAGGTAGGGCAGAACTGGGGGTGAAACGCTACCTGACCCCAGCCCACCTCTTCCCCTGCCAGCACCTGCAGGGTGACGCTGCAGCGAGGTCAACCTCGCCTTCTGAGTCACCTCTCCTCCATCTCCAGGCACACAGAAGTCCTTCTTAAATGCCTCCTTACTGAACTCATGTGCAGAGAAGAGATGGGGCACGTTCTGATGCAAACTCACCACCAGCACTGGATTCGGAGCCCAGGTCTCTCACCACTTCATTCTTTCACAAATCACAACTCTGTGCCTCAGTTTCCTTAGGGGTGACACGTGTATGATACCACCTAGGCTGGGGAAAGCATGACATAACAGAGGGAAAAGGCCTCAAATCTGCTCTCACGATTAAATGAAAACCCCGAGGCTTTCACTGCACCGGCTCTGCAATTAGGAATCTAATGCATGAAAAATTCCTGTACTCTGATGAAGGAGGACTGGTGGGAGAGGTGTGTGGCTGGTGAGGAGGCAGGACAGAAGTTGGTAACAGGTGCCCGTGAACCCATCCCCAGATTTTTTTGCTTTGAAATTGTACCTGCTCTTCCTCTGTGGCCTTTCAACACCAGGATATTATTCCAGTGGGGCCCCGGGCACTGATCACACACCTGACTCTTCCCGCTCAGGACCAGAGCATCATGAGGCTTATCCTTGTAACCGAGCTGGCCCTGAAAGGTAGATGTCAGTGATCTGCCCCACAGAAGAGTGGGAGAGGGGCGACTGGTGATGAGATGAAGGGGCAGTGACACCCAGGGAAGCCCATGCTGGGCAGAGCGGCTTCAGTGTCCCCCGAGCTGCCCGCATGTCAGAAACCAGAGCCGTCCCCGCCCTCGGAAAGCCAGCCATGTCTCTCACTTCTGGGTCTTTGGGACACTGCGAAGCCTGTCTAAATGTAAAACCACTTAGTTTCAACTTGTCTTTCCGCCCCACATTCAGGGTATAAATGGCCACGAGCCACCAAGGGTAGGTCAGTGAGTCCCGAGATGCATTTTAAGGAAAACTAGCTCCATGAGATGCTCTGTGGTGAGGATGCTGCCTTAACGAGGGGACATGGGCACGCTGGCTCTTTTGTGCTCCTCGTAGAGATCCACGTTGTACGTGTCCCTCTTACTGGCTATGAAGTCCTGGAATGATCTCTTTAAAGTCATCTAAAATAGTATTGCCCAAACTTAGATGACCACACAGGAGACGCTGAGAAGAATGAAAACACAACTCTGGAAAAAGTGCACTTATAGCCAAGAGCTGTCAGCCGTCAGCCACTCCATCCTCAGCAGCCCGGAAGGCAGGAGCAGAGGGAAGCAGCATCTAGAGGAATGGTGCCCGTGGGCTCCAGCGTCCAGCTGTACCTAAAGCAGGAGCACCCCTGGGAGACCAAGCTGTGAGAACTAGTCCTTTCTTTTGCTCAGAACTGGTTTGCTTAGTTTTTTTACCACTTGGTACACCCATGCCAACTAGTGGGGAATTGCAATTTGTTTGTAAAGTGGCTCCAGACGTGTGGCCAAGAGTCAGACAGGAAAAATGTGGAAGGCATGCAGAACCCATTCAGGCAGCAAAGACATTAGTGGAATCCAGTCAAGTGGCAAAGGAAATTAGGTGCAACCCAGGATGGGGAACGAAAGTCCATTGACCCAAGTCAGGCGATAAATGTCGAAAGAGGTACAAAAAACTGATTACAACTTCAACTTGAAAGAAACCCAGAGGGTGTGTGTTTACTGTGTGGTGAAATGAGACTCCAGCCCAGAGGCCGGAGGGACCCCAATGACACAGCAGAAAGAACGGCTGCGTTTCCAGGTATGGCTCTCAAGCGGTCATTCTGGAATACGAGTTGGCCATTCCTGCCTCATGGTCTTCAATCTGACGGAGCAAAACCATAGGCCGGTCCTGGGCCCACCTGAGATGATAAGCCTACTACTCTTAGTTAGGAGAAATGATGTTAAATCCTGGAAAGGTTTAAAAGGATGAAGAGAGATGATGAAGTAAACCACAACATTAATACTTAACTTTTGGATGAAAGTTTTCTGGTCATTGGGATAATCTCTGTATATTTATAATATTTAAAGGGGTATAAGGCATACTAGAG